GGTGACCCAGTCGTCTAAGGCGCCGCGATTCGCTGTGCAGAGTTTCGTCCCTTAGGCACCCCAGAAACCTATGATTGTGGGTTCGAATCCCGGTTCGCCCCGATTATGTTTCTAGGTTTGTCAGCCCCATACCCGTGCTCGTGGGTTTCACTGAAGTGGTAAACGTCTGAGACCTGCATCACTTCTGGCTTTCCTCCCAAATTAAACTGACACGCCGTGATGTGACTGGAATACTGTAAAAAGCGGCGTTAAACCCAACTCACTCACTCACTTAATATACTGACTTGTCGCAGCTTAGTTGATATTGTTACATCATGTATATGGCCTCAACACGATTTCACGATTATAACGCAATTCCTTCTGTGTGTTTGATCGGAATAATGCCCAGTGATGACACAACGATGTCTTGAAGTGAGTGAGTGAGTGAGCGAGTCTAGTTTTACGCCGCTTTAAGCAATATTCCAGCAATATTACGGCGGGGGACACCCAAAATGGGCTTCACACATTGTACCAATGTCGGGAATCGAACCCGGGTCTTCGGCGTGACGTGCGAATACTTTAACCGCTAGGCTACTCGACCGCCCCACGATGTCATGAATCAATTAGGACATAAACCAACAGTCTTTTGAAATTTTATGCAGTCCCCCTGTAGATTAGATACCTCTTATTTTAATTTGGAACCGAGCGCATTAGCAGCGCGTAATTACACAGGGTACAAAGGTTCTCTATCGCTGAACATTCAGAAAAGGGATAACAGGTAGTTGTATATGCAACAAATATTACTAAAGTTCATACCCATAGTCTTCTCGAGTTCAAAATAAGTGTTCAAAACACTTAGTTTTTCACAAGGAAGTTGACAAATAACGCTCCTAACGTAGCCCAAACATATATGTTAAAATTTCATCGCAACCTGCTTCACACTCTTTGGACTCATCAAGTCATTTCTTGGAAATGGAATATATTTCCCTTTGCAGAGGTAATGTTTATCTCTAACAAACGTTTTTAATCAACATTCTACTAATTATTTAAAATAATAGCCTTATTAGTTAGTTGGCAATTACTCCCGGTAAATAATACAAGTTCAAAATACATGCCTCTCCTTCCTTAACAGGGATGTGGCAGAACTTGACCTACATCACGGATACTCACACCTCACAACTGTCAATGGCTGCCAATGTTGTTGTTTACATTCTCCGAGCCTCAGACAAGTAACGCAAAGCAAGGTGACAACCTTGATCTATGATGTGGTTCAACATTAACCTGTAGACATGCTGGGAACGAGCCTGCTTGTACAATATGTATATCAACGGATCTGGAGTGTGACTGAACAGCAGTATGATTTTTAGGCTGCAGACAAGCGGGCTATTTAGACAGGGGGAATCTGATTTGCCCTTTCAATTTCAAGATTCCAAGTATTCAACGTAGGCGTGTAAATAAAAAAAATGATGTGATAGTTGTTTCGTGTTTCGTGTATGATTTGCTAAATTGTGCGTGTTCTGAAATTAATGTCACCAAGTTTGATAAGTTGTTATGATGAAATCCCTGTGCTGTGTGTTCAGTGATATCGGGACATTGTTTTGGAGTGTTTTCTTATGGGCTTACAAATCCCCTCTTGCCTAATTCTTACGGTGGTGGTTGACAGAGATGGCAATGAATATCGATCTCAAAAAGGTTTGCAAACAACATGTTGTCATGAGTTGACTACTTTTAAACACTTTTTTATAATGTTATGTTTTACTTTCATTGTTGGTTGTTTCAATGACGAAGTTGCCTGTAACCTGTTCCTAACTGAACCATAAACATTGCATTTGTATGCAAAATGTTTGCCTTGGTAAAGTCTTGTAATCCCATCATTGAAACAGTCAGGGTTACCGCCCCGAACATCATATCGTCGCCGAAAACATACGAAATAAAACAATCCTATTTCCTCTTATAGACACGAGGCCGTCTATTAATTTCACTTGTATTAGGGACCTGGCTTGGCTTAGAGGCTTAGTGTGTAATAGAAATAATATCGATACGTTTTAGTTCCTATGGGTGATAGATCGGCACCCATTTTCTTATGAATCGAAATACGTTATCGGTGTATTCATACGCACGTTTTTTTACGTGAAAAAGTTTAATATATTTAAAAGGTGTTTCCGTTGCAAAATGGAAACATCTTTTTAACCAGTCAGAATCAAACATTCTTCTATGTCATTGGAGGATGTTGTTTGTTCAGTTGTATTCAAGAACAGAGATGTAAGTGCGCACACAGCAGGGAGAAGCTAGAACAGAAAGAGGGTTTAACTGCTTACTATACATACACGTGTATAACATGTCCCATAGTATTGACACGTGTATATCATGTAGCACAGTATGTGACACGTGTATAACATGTTCCATAGTACTGACACATGTATGTCATGTAGTAGAATATCTGACACGTGTATGACATGTTCCATGGTACTGATACGTGTACGTCATGTAGCATAGAATGTGACGTGTATATACCATGTTCCATGGTACTGACACGTGTACCTCACGTAGTAGAGTATGTGACACGTGTACAACATGTTCCTTAGTACTGACACATGTACGTCATGTAGCATAGTATGTGACACGTGTATAACATGTTCCTGGCACTGACACGTGTAAGTCATGTAGCATAGTATGTGACACGTGTATGACATGTTCCATAGAACTGACACGTGTACGTCACGTAGTAGAGTATGTGACAGGTGTATAACATGTTCAATAGTACTGACACGTGTACGTCATGTAGTAGAGTATGTGAATGTGAATATCAAATTACTCGGATAATATCAATCTGTCCACCACTACACATGTCAATATGTCATTATGCACTTCATATGATATATACTCCTTTAAATCCTCCCGATCACAGCGTGGTATAATGAGATTGTCCATATATACGAAAGAACAAGGGTCCGATTCCATATGAACCGACAAATCCAATACCGTTTTTGATTTCTCTGAAGAAATGTCCTAAATTTAAGGCCATGGGAATTTTTATGTACATGAACATACTATTTATAAAAGTTATCCGAAGTATCTACACTTGACGTACATTTCAAATGTATTGTTACCTCTAAAACTGAAAGTATGAATGTCAATATCATTATTATGGTTTATAAATGATAAACAATTACTTTTGTTACCTTGTGCAGTAGGTTTAGGTCATTCACTATACGGAGTTTAGTCAAACATAAGATTAAGATTGAATTGCTTAATATATTGATCGTTTGTCATTCAGGCCACGCTCATCCTGGTGAAGCAGCCAATACCTACTTGGCAACGTCACGACAAAATAATAGGTTTTCCATCTAGGTTCATAAACGGAAGTGAACGAGCAACTCTGTATGGGATAGTGTGATTTCCCCTTCCCATTAACGCGCCTATCACTTATCATTAAAATAATATTTTAAATATTTGTTGGGGTTCTTGGCTCTTGGCTCAAATCTGTATAAACATTTTTTTCTATTTAAAAAATAAACAACAGGTACTATGATGCTGAAGCTTGAACATACATGACAACAAATGTGCTATGTATAGAAAAGAAGTCACTTATCAACCATTACTCACCTACCTTTGCCGACAGAAAGTAAAAATACGTGGAAATAACAAAGTTGCTTTCGTCATTTATCAAGAATGGGACACAAATAGTTGCAGCTACTTGTATAACACGCAGAGGTATAACATTACCCTTTCAGCCCAGTTATGTGTACCCCCGGTAATGTAATATCTGCACCTGTACAAGGAGCCGTAAACCTGTTGTCATGTAACGAGGTGAGTGGTCGTGTTGGTGGAGGAGTCAGTCCCAATGGCGTATCCTGGTGTTAAATCTCCATTAAGCCTAATCATGAATATGTTAATGTCGACTACACCCGTGATACACCCATGTCTCTTTAGTAAAACGGGGGCACCGTGTAATATGTACGTTCAGCAACTACCGCGATAATATGTGAACTTTGTGAATAGGCCATGTGTTACTCGTGACCAAGTCTTCTCGGCCGTGTCACATTACATGTTGTAGAGTTACATGAGAGACAATCAAAATCATGGTTTTGCATTCATTTATTCGTTAGGGATAACGTACTTGAGAAGAGCAACAACATTCTTAACAAACAGAGAAAGCGAAATTAAATATCCTGTTGAAATAGTCATCTCAAATGAAACCATATCGTATCTCTAAGCTCTAAGCTCTCGATATTTCGAATTGTTTTCGTTGCTTCGGTTATTTTTCTCGTTATTTCGATTATTTTCTCGCTGCGTGGACTTTTTCTCGTTATTTCAAGTTTGTTTCAAAAACTTGGTATTTCGTTGTTTTTTCTTGGTTTTTCTCGTTACCCCGATTATTTTCTCGTAATTTCGCTTATCTGTCTATTTATATTTATTTAAAAAAATCGAAATTTCGAGAAAATAATTGAAATAACGAGAATATTTTATTTTATAACAAAAAAATAATGCTACCAAAGTGGCACCATTAGGCTTTCATATAAAACAGCATTATTTCATATTATACTTATCTGCCCAAACCTCGATGAGATTCATTGTTCATAGTAATGACACATGTATTAAAAGCATAACATAAAACAAATGCATGAAATATAAAGCACGTGTTCAGATGGTAGACTTTCCCATGGATTCATAAAATAAACTGTGAGGATCAAACAGTTCTCAAGCTAAATCAAGCAGCGTTTATCTTTAGTATTATTTGCTGTTATAGGTTAGTTTCGAGGGGAGAGGGGCTAAATATACCTTATTTTACTCCATTGTAATAGATCTGAATCCCCCAAACACTGACAAGTTCACGCTTCAACAAGTGTGCCACTCCAAGGCAGCCGAGATCGTCTAGCGCGTCTCGCAGCGCCATTCTGTATATTGCTTGTCATGTACTGTATACTGCGCTTGATATACAGTGTACTGCACTTGATACTGGGTTTTTACATCATTGCGATGGATATCATGCTGTTTATGGCATATAATGATCTCCTTACCTTAACTATCAAGTTGAGCAGGTATTCTCCACGTTTTGAAACTTCCCTCTTGACTTCGGATATGGATATTAATAGACACGACACGACACTAAAAATAGAAACGGCTTTTACGTTGCGCTTTCCATTTTGAAATATTAAAATGTTGGATGAAAAGGTCCAAGCCAGCTTTGTGTAACAGTAAAGTAGGTACATTTAAATCTCTGATCATTCATACTGCCATCAAATACATCCTATTTCCACAATATCAAACACATATATGTCGTAATCAACTCAAGTTATCAACAATGTCAGCTTAAACTTGTAATGATGACGAAACTAAAACAGGGCAAATATATTATTGCCCCCATTGCTGAAGCTGTGTAAAGTGTACCCGAGTTAGAAAAGGCCTTCAGCAACCCATGCTTGTCGTAAAACACAACGGTGACTGTCGTAATAGACGACTAATGGCATCAAGTGATCAGGCTCGCTGACTAGGTTGATGCGTAGATCAATGCTCATGATGGCAATCACTGGCTTGCCTGGTTCAGACTCGATTATTTTAAGACCGCCGTCATATAGCTGGAATATTGCTGAGTGCGGCGTTCACCAACCAGACAAAAAACAACTGCAATGCTGATCATTAATTATAATATTTAAAAAGGATGGTCGCACATCTATGTGCCCATGAAATGACACACACCCCATGCGACAAATCAAAATGTGCGCGATCAACGCCAAATTGGTCGGTCTACCAATGTGGACAACAAGCCTGTGACAACAATGTGAGATTGACTACCCATCCAGTGAGCCTATTCATGTACAAGAGCGTGTGAACAGGTAGCTTGCTTCACAATATACAATGTTATCATTGGGGAAAGCATAATCTAGGGGGGGAACATCAACTTGTTTCACGGAGTGACACTGGTTCACCTTCCCCGGGTTTTTTTCCAATGCGTTTTTGTGTGTGACAGAAGCAGTTATTGTCTTCACTGCTTTCAGTATCGCCATCTACTGGTATGTTAACAAGTATTGTACGTTAAGCGGGGTTTGCTAGATAGACTGGTTAATAATAAACCATAGCAGTGAGATAAATCAAATGCGTTCACTCTTTCATACGTCTTGGATAAAATCATCTAAATCCCTTCCTAAAATCATGAAATGATATCAGCCTAAAGCAGAGTTGATTGTAGGATTCCGAGTATGTCATAAACACTACCAAATTGTGGTGACACGAGGTGTTCGTGAAGCGTACCCATCATCTTAAATCATGTACTTAATCTATGTGGGATGACGAAAATACAGACGATGTCTTGTACGGTTGGACTTCATATCTTCAATATTCTAGTCTTAAACCTGTTCAGACATATTCCAGCATTAATGTTACAAAGTTATGTTTATCCCTGTATGTCAGTATTTTCACTAACACACCTCGATTTACTTAAATGTTTAATTGATCAGACATGCAAAAGACTCTGGTGAAACCCTCGACCCTCGACGTTCAACCCAAATGAACTAATAGCTGAGATGTTTAACAAGTGAGACAGTTCATGAAGGTCACGAGAGCAACGTCTTCAAGTCTGCACTGTAATTTGTCACATTAGAAGTGCTGTGCAGACCAATGCAACTGTATTTGATCGTCAATAAACCCTTTTTGCGTTATAGTTATTATCAGAAAAGTACCAGCAAGACCAATGCGAGGTGACCAAAAATATGAACTCCTCGTCACATAATTGGCTTCATGTTGTGTTCTTGTGTTCAATATAACCTTTATTTCTGTCTTTCAAAAAAGATTCCAGGTAAAATAAATACTTATACCAAACCATAAGTCGATTTTATATCTGGATACCCACTTCGTGCTATAAATACTCCATTAAATAAATGTTTCTCCGATCACAACGTGGAATAAAGAGATTGTTCATATCAATGAAAAAACAAGGGTCCTATTGCAGGTAAACCGACAAATGCAATATTTGATTTCTCTGAAGAAAAATCTAAACTGTAAGATACGGATATTGTTATTAATACACATGGTCATAATATTTATACACGTTTTCCCAAGTATCTTCACTTGACTTACATTTTAAATGTGATATTACCGATTAAAACTGAAAAGTATGAATGTCCACCTTATTTCTATGATTTAGAAATGAATAACAAGTGATTTTCTTATGCGTGTGTTACGTTTAGGTTATTCTCCGTGTCGAGTTCACCCTATCAAACGACTGAGATCAAATTGCTTAATAGATTTGATTGTTTGTGGGGTTTTTGACAGACCACCCTTATCCTGGAAAAGCTGTCAATACGTACTTGGCAAAGTCACAAGACTGCAGGTTTTCCTTCCAGTCTGGTCAAAAATCCCCAACACGAAAGTGAGCGAGTAACCCTGCATGAAAAAGTGTGATTTCATCTACCACTTAACGCCTAGTAATACCGTATATATACAGATAGAAATCTAGACTTCATCAATATTATTCAGTAAACATTGTTTATAGTCGCTTATTATCACCCGTCACGAAGTGGAACGGGGATATAGGATTGGGTGCTGTCCGTCTGTTCTTCCGTCACGTTTTGTTTAAGGAACAGAACTAAAAAGACATTAGATATATCTTAACCATACCTGACACATAGATAGGTCTAGTGGTGAACCGGTGTCTTTTGATAGCTTGGAATTTTAAAAAAAATGTATTTTTTCTAGTTTTCATGACAACGACTTTGACTTATGCGTGTTTTGTGCTTAATACACGACAACAAATAAGACATTTACAAACATGACATCACTTACCATGCATAACTAGCTGATGGCGTCATTCTTTGGGAAAGAACCATTCTTCGGGAATGGGATAAATATAGATCCAGCTACACAGAGAGGTATAGTATCTCACTTTCCGACGTTGAAATATTGTGTAACATCTGCTGTATGTTATATACACACCTGTACAAGTAGCCGTGAAGCTATTTTCATGTCACGAGGTAAGTCGCCTTCTTGGTATCGTACTCAGTCCCTTTGGAGTATTGTGATTAACTCAAAAGAACAGATAACGTTTCAAATATTTAAGACTTAAAACGTAAAACGTAGTACTATGTACATTCATCAGCTAACGTTAAAATAACGTGGAGCTTCTCAAATAGGTAGGTCATCCATTATTCACAAGTCTCTTCTCGGAAATACACAACGCAACAAAGGCGTCATCGATTACGTGCAGATACCTTAGAATCTATACATAACAACGGCAAGCATCAGGCTGTACTATCATAAAGGAATAATGGTGTGGCGTAATGTGGTTATAATTAAGTTAGATTTGTAGACCGTCTTCACAGCCACACATAATTTCATTCAACTCATGATTCGATTTGTTAATAGAACTATTAGGTTTAGAATGTAATCTGAACCTTTATTTCAAACAAACCTACTTGTTATACGCTATATAAGAATAATATCCAAATGTGTCGCGTTAGCAAACAGTGAATCAATATTAACTGAGGACGTATGATTCCGGCCGCATAAACTGCCTTCCAAAGAAGACAAATTTTAGTATCCCACTATTTGGCTACTGGGGCCGATATTGCTCTAAAGGAATTGTACGAACTCAATCGCACCATTGAGTTGTCAGTACTCCTTCAAACCTTTAACATCTGAGTAAAATCCACATTAAAAATCATTAACACTAAAGGTAGAGAATTAATAGTAACTTTCAAAATGATATAATTATCCACCATAACTTGTATATGCACTTCATGAAAATATCAGCCGATATATAACATATTATACAAACTTGTTTTAAACATACCAAAGCCGCTGATACGGTATTCCCCACGCGCCGTCCGCTATGAGTCACACATCACACTAGGATAGAGAAAATAAATACAGACAGTGACGTCACAACAGACGGTATTAGGCAGTCACTGCGGAGATATATCCCTTCGCGATAGGTTACGGTTCAACAAGGAAGTTATTCACAGCAACTCCCGAATTTCTAATAATTACTTCTGTACAACAGAAGCTTTTCCAAGTTTGTATATATTTTATTAGATTTACTGTGTTATCTGAATAAAATATCGATGTTTTTTTCACACACGTTTAACATAAATACGTAATGCGGAACTGCTAAAAATTACCAAGGCCTGTGGTTTTCCGAATGAGCTATACCGACACGGAAACAATATGAAATTCCACTTCCCTTCTACATGGGAAACATTCTCAAGCAATATCGGCGTTATATATTGGATATAGTGTTCTGCAGGACATGGTAGGATTTTCTCACTTTGTATGTCAGATCCCAGGAACAACAGCATGTATCCTTGCGCTCCAACTGTAATGCATTTCCCTGACGAATCAAACTGCGTCTGTTGTCCTCTCCGATAGGGTCCCTGTGATGGTCCAAGGAGTCGCCTTAACGTGATAACTCATTAAGTTTTGTACATTTTAGTATATGAGGGAACCCCCATTGTGACCAGTAGTCACACTGCTGGAAAAACTTGGATTAAATATATGTTCACTGAATATTACAAGTTATATTGATATTTCTTCTTTGTTGTTTGACGAATACCTCACAACCTGTCTGTTATCAATGACACAATTTATAATTACTAATGACGTAATATTTGAGAGATACATGTCCTCTGTTACTGTGTAGGTCATACGTCAGTGGCTATTCTCAACAACAACGACATTTATGTTTCTTTTGTTTGGGGCATCTCATTCTCTTGTGCTATGGTTTCGAATTAATTCGCTGATACCACGAAATAACAGCCTATATTATAATCTGATGGGTGCAACGATAGAATACACTTACATCCGATTACAAGACTCAATTTCAGGGATATAACACTGGTCTCTGATACATGTTGTTAGGACAGCAGGTATCAGGTAACGCCTTGCCAGACATGAATTTAACAAAAACTAGGTCACCCGTTTCGGAGAAATCTACCTCTCCCGGGAATCTGACAGGTGTCGACGTAATCCTGTACATGCGCAAACTGTACTTCCTATTTTGCAGTTAAAATATGCATACTTCATCATATGAATCTATATATAATGATTATGATCACCCGTTATATTAAGGTAAGAGATGTTGTGAACTGTTATTTTTTTTATCCAAGTTTTAACACTTTTCTTGCTTTGAATACCATTTATACCACAAGTAATTATTTTAAGTAGCTATTCCAGATGGAGCATTGTTCTGGCAACATATCTTGACATATGGCACATATATTCCCTTGACCATTAACGCCCAAACTCAGCCCAAAGCAGAACCCCATGCCTCTATCCCAGCCCCAAATCCCAGCTCCCAAGCGCGCACATCCACACCCTAAACACAAGCACAAATTGCCAACGCATGCTTATCCGCAGCTAAGAAGTTATCATGGTTGGACGGTTTAATACTTATTCATACCATTATTTCTTTTCTCCAGACAAAATGAATTGGCATGGACACGAGGGTTTGTTACCAACAACATTTCTGTTTGTTGTGTATGTTTTTCTCCTGATACACCAAGGTAAGCTCGTTAACGCCTTTAACGTGAATAATGCCAATCACTGGAAACTTTTTATTCACACCCATAAGCACAAGATTAGCTTGTTGATAGCTTGTTTGAGTTATGGTATAAGGACCATCGTTTCTTCGCTTTTCCTTTCTTAAACATTTGCCAGTGGAAATACTCCAATTGCAATAAATCATCTATTTCGCTTATTTTCCATGTGAAAAACGATGATCAACGCTTGGATATTTATTGGAAGGTATTTGAAACTACAGCTCAATCTATGTAAGGATATTTCAAAGTTTTGATTAGGCGGACTGCATTTCTGTCTGTAATATCTTTGTCCTTCACAACATTTTACATTTACCAGTACTAGTTATTGGTTTATGTTTGTTGTTTGACACCGCGCTCAGCAATATTTCAGCTATATGACGGCGGTCTGTCCACCCGAACCCGTTGGTCGCCTCTTACGACAAGCAAGGTCGCTTTTTACGGCAATAATGGGTTGCTGAAGACCTATTCTAAGCCGGATCTTCATGGGTCTTACCAGCACTAAGTTCATTATTGATCAAAAGTCAAGTTGATAAGAATAGCTTCCACCATGTCGTATTTTGATGCGTATGTGCTGCCGTATTTGCAGGTGACACCAAATGCGTGTACAAAACTCGCCGACTCTTGAAGGATGGCTGTGTGAACTACTGTCCCGAGGACCAATGTCCCGAGGAATGTACCTACTGTGACAGCGGCTTCTATGGGTCTGACTGTACACGGAGCTGCCGAGGACACTGCTTGAATGGAAGGTGTGCCCTTCTGGCTAATGGTAGAGCCGTTAACTGTACGGAGGGTTGTATGGAGGGGTGGAGGGGGTTAACGTGTAGTACTAGATGTAAGTATCCTTGTCGGGAGTGTGGGAGATACACTGGAGACTGTGTGGGGCAATGCAGGGATGGTTTCTACGGACCTGGATGCTTACAGCGATGTCCATATTCCTGTTCCCGATGTGACAAAAACAACGGAGTATGTTTGCCTAACACTTCTTCTGATGCAGACCTATCGCCGATAAAACACAAAATGACATTAAGCCTGACAAATGGTAGTGGCATTAACAAGACTCACAGCAGTTACGTGAACAAGACACGCAGCAGTCACAAAGCAGGTAAAGGGCTGTCATGAACCCTCCAAACCGATTAAATGTTTATTTTTAAAAGTTAAAAATATTGTTTTACACACACATATCAAAAAATATTTTTTAATCCACAGTTCCTTGTTCCTCATTGTTTACTTTTGTAATACATAACTGGTTGGTTGTTGTTTAACGCCGCACTCAGTAATATTCCAGCTATGTGACGGCGGTCTGTAAATAATCGAGTCTGGACCAGACAATACAGTGATTGACATCATGAGCATCGATCCACGCAATTTGGACACGATGACATGCATCAACCAAGTCAGCCAGCCTGACCACCTGATCCCGTTAGTCGCCTCTTACGACAAGGATAGTCGCCTTTTACAGCAAGCATGGGTTGCTGAAGACCTATTTACCTGGATCTTCACATAACAGAAGGTCCACATCAACGTGTATCAACATACTAAATTTCAACAAAAGCAATGTGTGAGTACAATGGGTTTTTTCTGTTTTAGAGTTACATCAACACTCTGCAGTGACGTCAAGACCCCTTGGTGACAGATGGTCAATATCCCCATATTTCCTCACTGGCATTGCTGTATTATCTGCAGTAATTACTTTCATTATCGTCAGCATCGCCATCACCAGGTATGTCTTCATCACACAATACTGGCTATACAGCGATAACTATCAATAACTTCCTTTCATTGCGTTCAACATATCACATACATGATGACAACAACTCTGTTTGAAAAAGAAATACAAACACACACGGAGTCAAATGAAGTTAATTAATATATAGTCAAGTTAGAGTCAATGTGTAACATCAGACAATTTGTAAATCTCATTAGCACAGTCTGTTAAACGGTATGAGTCATCATCTTTCCTGCATATTAAGTTTTAGACAATTTGTCAAATATTCTGCCTGATATTTCAGTCAATTTACAAAATGACTGACAATTTCAACCATTTTGCAAATTGACTGATTTTACAATATACATGTTCATGTCATCTTTGTGTTTTAGCTTATGTTTTGTGACATTCCAAGATGATATGGAAGCTAAAGATACAATGGGTGTAGCTTGTGAGACGGATGATGAAAATAATCATGCTCTATTTTTCAGCATGAAAGCAACAAGAATGCAATCGAAGACGGGAGCAGTTGAGAAGCGTGAAGAGTCTTATCGGCTCCTCAATGTGAAAGTCAACGTTATTATAAGTAATGTAGTTTCGTGAATCTGTATTAACTGACATAGGATGAAACAGACAAATACGCGAGTAAAATACCGTACACCAAAAGTGTATTGAAAGTTAGTAGGGCGTGACAGGTTTTAAATAACTGCTTTCAAAAAGTTAAATGTTCAATAATAACTTGCTTCTTAAAATGGAAGTAAAAATGTATTTCAATGATTTAACAACTACTCAAAGACTTTTGAGAACCTGTGGAAAACTACCACTAGGTGAAGTTCTTTCATTCACAAGAGAGCAAGTGATCCTCAAAGGTTTCAAAAACCATAAACATGTGACCTACCAGGAGAAAAGGGACCTTATGGTTGCTTGGATACAAGTTTGCAGTGACGTCATAAAGAAAAAAACGTCAACTTACTGTGTGCGGACATCGTATATTCTCTCTTTTCTGCATTTCGGCATATATACCTAGTTTCAATCAGACATTATATCTAAAAACTGACATTATTACATAAACAGTCATAAGTCTGAAAATGAGTCCAAATGTTTGAACTCATGTGTCTCTGTAATACATATGAATTTAAGCTTATCAACTGTATTTTCGTGGCCCTGCGATCCTGTAATTTTAACATATAATAAGAAATCAAAATGTGATTTTTCACCCATAAGGTCCGTCATCTCATGGTTGGACACATATATAGCAGCTTATTATACATTTCGGAGTTCAATATATTCTTTAGATAGTAGTTCACATTGGTTGTATTGGGTCTACTCTACTACGCAATAAACATGGGTAAGTTTCATATGGATAAGCAGGAAAAAGAGGTTTTGTGCATTTTTCACCCGTTGAGATCATGATAAAAGCTCTCGATAAGTAACCAAATATCTACGAAGAGGTACATGTTTGTTTGTTTGTTGTTAAATGCCGCACTCAGCGATATTCCAGCTATATTCCAGCTGTACATAATCGAGTCTGAACCAGAAAATCTAGTGATTGACATCATGAGCATCGATCCACGCAATTGGGAAACGATGACATGCATCAACCAAGTCAGCGAGCCTGACCATCCGATACCGTTAGTCGCCTCTTAAGACATACGTGTGCGCAGCCTGAAACGGCTACTCTAGGTAATTACGCAGTGTTGTTAGAATAATGGATTTTTGAAATTCGTCATGCGTATTTTTACGTCAAGGAGTAGAATGACCGGATATTTATATTTAAAGTCAGGAGAAAGGGTAGAGTTGCTTCCCTTTTATGATACCAGCTAACAAAGAAAGTAATGCGAATGAATAATTTTTTGATGTGTTGTTGAAGATGGTTTAATACGTCATCGTTTATTGACAACACAATTTAAATATTAATTGATTCCCATATAACGCGTTATTTTTCTTAAATTATTTTACTGAAACATCATTTATACATCATAATTTGTCTAAACCTTTCTGTCAGTTGATTTTGATTTAAGAAACTGACGAGAGTTAAAGGCTAAGGCAGTTTAACATTTCCGTTTGTTGACATTCGCTGCGGTTTGTTTTCTTTGGTTGAAAATACATAATGCTATTGAACAGTGAATCACAAAACAGTATACAGTCTCCTAGAAGATGTATTTTTGGGTTTGTTTTTATATTCTAGACATGTAAATTCTGTAGAACTAGAGATAAAGATATAAAGGTAGGTAAAGCATTCTTCAACAATCGATACCTGTGCTGTCTGTGACAGATTCCTTTGTTTGAAGACTTTATTGATGAATGCCCCGGCGGTGGCCCGAGTTCGAGTAGGTCATTGAATCATCCAACTGATCATAAGAGGCGATTAAATTGCTTCGGGTGGTTACGCTTGGTGATATCTTATCATCGTACCTGTCATTCTGAATGTCTTTCCTGTTGTTGATTATCATTCTTTGAATATATGCGTCCACAATGTTGGCTTATCCAGACTAAAACAAAACGTAGCACTGAAGAAGCATTTTTTAAGCACAAGAGGTCCCAGTTGCTCTGCCACCAAGATCGGCACAAATAAACGGAAAAAAACGCTAGACAAAAACAAACTGTTTGCAGTGCATACTTGAACAGATGAAGAATTGTATGTATTTTGTTCTCTGTGTGTCCGTGTCGTGTCCTCATATATAACTTGATCCCGTTCAATTTTTTGTTGTTTTTAAGCCAATTAGTTTTCAAGCTTGTTATGTATTCCCGTTTTTGCAGACCCTTTACAATAATTAGAGTATCAACTTTGATAGGCCTTTAGACGTAAGATGACAACATGGACAACAGTATGGACAACAACCTCTTTGGTATACATACAGGATTGACAGAGTGGGAGAGCATGACATTTATACACAAACATACAATATTAATATCATGTTTATTATCTCATTTAAACTCTTGTGTAAAAACATCACCTTGTATCCACTCACCTATAACTTGTCAAGTCCGTGTCGAATAAAGGTCAAGGTCTCGATTAAACGCCGGAAGTAAACGCTGGATAAAGAGCGTCTTAAAGGAATATACGCCCGGGGGGTTTGTTTAATACGGTACTCCTTTGTTAATCTACAATAAATGTGTCTGCAAAATGTGGTTTTGTTTTAATGAAAAATGCCAAAAGGCTCCAGGGGAAGTCGAACCCTCGACCTTCTGCTTACTAGGCAGACGCTCTAACCAACTGAGCTATAGAGCAACGACGTTCGACAAGGGAGCTGCCTGCTGCCGTTCTGATTGTCATCCTTACAAACAGAGAACTGTCAATACTTTGGATTTTACGCTTTCCACGTGACATTCGTCTCTAGTCACGTGACACGATATCCGCTCATAAACACCTTCACATTGTAATGTATGCAGAACACTCACTCCATACAGGTAGTGATCCACGTATTAGAATACTTATTGTGAATTTACTAATTTAATTTGACAAATGCTTACTATTTGTCAAGAGATCGATTAATTTCTTTTCTGTCATTTCGCAAATATATTTTATTCGGAAAACATATTATAAAACTGTCATAACGCTCATGTGAATTTTGAAAGTTTCAGTGATTATTTTGTTATTTAGAGTATTGCCAACATTGCCACAAGGCCTGCGTACAATACCGATTCGGTGGTTTTGATAGCCCTGCCATGACTGTGGAATATATATACATATATTCTCCAATTATTTTTTTTTTAAATTTACGAAAAGCCTTGGCTCGTCTTGATCAACCTAAAGCAAGTCTAGTTTCCTTGATTCCAGACGAGGAAAGCTTCTCTTGAACAAAATAAAATACAATTATTTTAGAGAAATGTATTCATAGGCTGAGTGTTTGTTTATGGTTCGGAACTAGGCCGCCAGTAGATGGAGCTGTCATTTAAATCATCTATTTCGTTGAGTTGAGTTTAACTTTCTAAATGGTTTCCTATGTAGCAATATGTGTACTAAATCCGTCATCATTTACCATATGATTTCTGTAAGTATAAACACAAATTAGCTCTTGCTAACATTGGAAACTTAGCTGCCGTAAATCAGGGCTTCTGTTTATAAGTCTTTTGTAGACTTCCTGAAAGTCATGTTCAGTAAAGTGAAGCCTAGCAAGCTATATTATGTAACACTGAGTGACACACTAGAGATGCGTGTCAAAACTGCAGACTCCCAAGCCGCTATGTCACCGTAACTCCGCCATGAAGGGTAGAAGACAAAAAAGGGAATTCTCTATTTCATAACACACTTTCCCTTTAGCCTCTTGTTGTGTCCAAGACTTCGTTCTTCACAGATCTCGCCGGGACGTCCAACCCACACGTGGTGCAGAGCAGCTAATCTCGGCTAGAGTTGTCTCCCCTACACTGTCGATCATCTCTTGTAAACGATACCCAACCGTTTTGCTGTAACGATTTAATGGTTAACATTAACGTGTTGCATTCTATGCGTCGTTTAAACACGAAAGCAGTTTTTATCAAAAACGATGAATATTCATAAAAAAAACATATCATGAGTTATGAGTTTTGGCAGAGATTTCGGCATCTGTGGAGAATCTAAGACATCTACACCACCTTGTATCCACTCTCTTATAACATGTCAAGACCATGTCGAAAAAAGTCAGGGATGGGGTAGCTGTTAAACATTCATGGTGTCCAGATACCATTACACGTGAATCTAGTGTTGCTATTTGGGTACATTAAAGAAATAAACAACGAAGATATTTGAAACTGCAATCAACACCCTATTATAAACACATGTATGTAATGTGTTGTTTAGGCCGAACTCACTTCTCTCTCAAATAACTTTGTTTGTCAAAATATGTTACATGTAGTTATACCAAATTGTTGTCCCAGTTTTGGACATATAGATAGTTTCAATCATAATACTATCGTATTTTGAAGGTTACACCAAGTGCGTGTATAGAACTCGCCGACTCTTGAAGGATGGCTGTGTGAACTACTGTCCCGAGGACCAATGTCCCGAGGAATGTATCTACTGTGACAGCGGCTTCTATGGGTCTGACTGTACACGGAGCTGCCGAGGACACTGTTTGAATGGAAGGTGTGCCCTGCTGGCCAATGGTAGAGCCGTCAACTGTACGGAGGGTTGTGTGGAGGGGTGGCGGGGGTTAACGTGTAGTACTAGATGTAAGTATCCTTGTCGGGAGTGTGAGAGATTCACTGGTGATTGTGTAGGGCAATGCAGGGATGGTTTCTACGGATCTGGATGCTTACAGCGATGTCCATATACCTGTTCAAGCTGTGACAAAAACAGTGGAGTATGTTTGCCTAACACTTCTGTTGATGCAGACCTATCGCCGACGAAACACAAAATGACATCAAGCCTGACACATGGTAGTGACATCAACAAGACTCACAGCAGTCACAAAGCAGGTGAGGGGTTTTGCAAGAAATCGATTTAATGTATATTCATAAACAATATAACACACATATAAAAAATATTTTGCAATCCGTAGTTCTTTGTTCCTTATTGTTTACTTTTGTAAGAGTGAGCGAGTGAGTTTACGCCGTTTGAAGTAATATTCCGGCAATATCACGGCGGGGGCTTCACGCATTGTACCCATGTCGGGAATCGAACCCGGGTCTTCGGCGTGACGAGAGAACGCTTTAACCACAAGGCTACTCGACCTCCCCGACTTTTGTAAGACATAACCTAAAGTACACATCATCATGTATCAACATGCATTTCAACACATGCAATATGTGTGTACTAAAATATGTTTCAGAGTTACATCAACACCCTGCAATGACGTCAACACCCCATGGTGACAGTTGGTCATTCAACTCACAGGTTCCCACTAGCGTTGCTGTATTATCTGCAGTAATTACTTTTATTGTCATGAGTTTCACCATCTTCAGGTATGTCTATACTGGCTATACCACGAAAAGTAGAAACATCACGATTCATTTGCATTCCTTTGATCACACAACCTCTCGATTAAATTCATTCAATTTACCAGTAGCAGGTGATACCTAATGGTCCTTTGGAAAGACCCCAACTGGGAATTCTGGTACAGGATAAACCCCAAACATACCACATCAGTTTTGTAGTGTACACTGTGTGTCTTGCCTCAGTAGTGGAATGTAAAACCATTGTATGCTGTTTATCCCTTAATGACTACATTTGCCAAATGAGTTTAATTACAAGCTATGACATAACTGTAATGCTGTTGACTGCTGAAGAACCAACATTCATTCACTCACTTTCCTGAATGGTAGACAATGACATATGTTTTGTCGTTCATTACCACAGTTATTTATTACCACAAATGCACTGGCTTTAAAAATTATAAAGAATAAAGAGGATCTATTTGCATGTACACGTTGCCAAATGAATGAAAAGCGTAAAAGCTGTCTTTAGCCATTACAGCAGTGGCATTCCCGGATGATTTCGAGGTGAATAACAATATAAAGTTAAAGCTTGTGATAGTTATTATTTAAATTTTATTTCTTTAAACGGTATAATCATATTCTATTATACAGAGTGAAAGTGGCGATGGTGCAAAAAAAGAAATGGGTTCTGTTAGGGAACTCCCCACACATGGAGAGTCTAATCGGCTCCCCAAATTCAAAAGTTATGGGTTGTAATGAATCTATATTTACTGAATGGTAATGAGCCTGTTGGCACAACGTGATCACCAATGGAACTGGAGTATGACTGAACAGATACTTTTTAGGCTGCAGACAAGCCGGTTATTTTGACACAAGTAATCTAATTTCAAGATTTCACGGTATCAACGTCAACGTGTGAAGAATAATTAATGTGACAGTTGTGGCCCAGCAACATTGGTTCGCGTATGATTTGCTTAATTGTGCGTGTTCTGAAATGATTGATAAGTCATTATAAGTTTGATAAGTTATGATCAATTCCCTGTGCTGTGTTTTCAGTGATATCGGGATATTTTTTTCTTGACCTTTTGAAGGGAGGAGTATTGTCTTATGGACTTTCAAATCCCCTCTTGCCTAATCCTTACAGTGGTGGTTGACGGAGATGGCATGTTGTCATGAATAAACACTTTTTTAGATTGTTATGTTTTACTTTCATTGTCGCTTGTTTCAATGATGAAATTGCCTGTTCCGAGTATGTTCGCAATCGAACATGTCCCTAACACAAGGAAGACAATGTTTGGATGTCAACTTTATAATGAGGAACACAACTGTTCGGAGTTTATGCTTACTCCTTCGCATCCAAAAATTCTCTCCCTTATGTGTATCACTACTAATTGCCTTTCAAAGACTTGATGTCCTTGGGGGCACGGGATGCCCAGTTGTCTAAAGCGCTGCAATTCGCTGTGCAGAGTTGCGTCCCTTGGACACGCCAGAAACCTATGATTGTGGGTTCCAATCCCGGTTCGCCACGATTATACTTTCTAGGTTTGTCAGCACCATACCCGTGCTCGTAGGCTTCACCGAAGGGGTAAACGTCTGACACCTGTATCACTTCGGGCTTTCCTCCCACATTAATCTGACATGCCAAACTCAACTCACTATTAAACTGATTATCTCTTCAAGGGCGAGTAATAAAAGATCAATATTTCACAGGAGGCAAATAACATCACATTGTGGAACTACTACAATGGTGATATGATTTTCAGAATGAGATCTTGAAAATCAGTAAGAAATTCGTGAAAATAAGTAGAAATGCTGAATTTCTTTACACCTAGGAACTGATGACAGTGTAGTTTTAATAAAATATCTATGAAATAACAGCCTTTTCGATGTATATTTGTAACTGGCTGGTGATAATATGTCATCAACGCATAACAGCATAACAAAGCAAACTGAGAGGCAAACAATATGAAATTCAACATCCCTTCTCATTACAAATGTTTTATGGTAGATATATTGAGGACATTTCCAGATTTCCAAAAGGTATGTCCGGTGCAATTCCTGACTTAGACTTGTACCATATGTTTACGTACTTTTTCCGATAAACAATTGACTTGCATTTTCATGTGTTTGTGACAGGTGCCAACGGTAGGAAGAATACGCCCACCTTTTCGTGAACACCTGGTATCATCACTATTTATAAACACATGCTCACGATATAGATGGAATCGTACTGTCAACTCTGCTTTTGCAGACATTTCTCATGAATATGGAAAGGGTTATGTCGCTTCTCTTTACTTTGTATGTCAGATCACCAGCAATAACAACATGTATCAATGCCGTCAACTGTAATGCTTTTCTTTAACGGATCAAGCTGCATCGGTCCCCTCTGATAGGGTCCATGTGATAGCGTCACAACAAAGAGTGAAAACCCATAAGGTTTCGTACATATATATTTTAGCAGATTCGGGAACCCTCACTGTGGCAACTAATCACACTGTCGAAATGCTTGAACTAATAATGTGAAGCTAAATATTACAAAAGATCATACTACTCTTATTTTTTTCCTTGTGATTTATTACTGATGTTCTGTCTGTAATCAATCACAAAATTCATGATTACTAATAACTTAATGTATGAAAGGTACACGTACCCCTGTTTCTGTGTAGTTCAATTAAAGTTTACATCACATTGACAGTAAGATAGTGAGGTAACCGGAATAAAATCAAAACTAGGAAAACTCCAAAGCAATGTTCTGTCTATTAAACAGAACGATAAATGTAGGTTACCTCTTGATTGCATCTTAAAAGCCTTCGTTGTGGTGATCAAACCAAGAATATTAAGAAAAAATGGATTTGAAAACGATGTTTATTGACAAGGCACAATGTGATTGGACAAAGGAGACTTTCGAGATGCTCTCCTAATTGGAAGATCAAGACACCAAGATCAATCGAATTGTTGCATGTTCGGCTTTTCAACACCAATATGAAGAATGTGAAAATATGTACAATGTGCAGTGCAACTATTTTCAATATATATTTGTAACAATTTGATAACTCAAGCAGTGGTAATTAACATGAGGTCATAGAAGCTATTAAACAAATACAAATCTTAAAAAATTCTTAGAAAATCAACGCCAAACTTAATTATATTTATATATATGAACTTTAACAACCCTTAAACATACAAATATAAAATATGTTATTTGTCATGGACGGGTCTTGCTAGGTCCACTTCGCGAGTGTACACTGTGTATGCATACACACGTAGAAGCATCATAAAAATAACTTACAGTAGATGTAAACAGGGGGTGTCTATATTTAAAAATAAAGGCGCGTCTCACCTACGAGTTACGAGAACATGGACACCATTACACTAAACTCATTGTACCAGATCAATACACTCATTTTACTTTACATATACTATATTCACCCAAACCGTGACATGTTTTCATTGAAGACAGCTGTCGTTTACATTTTCATCCAATGAATCAGGTTTAACATTCTCTAGATAATGAGTTCGTCAACAGGGAATGTGTGCTAATTATAAAGAAATATAGTTAATGGGTGATTGATGTGCATGGAGTACTAGTCTAGCTACACATAAGGGGGGATGTGTTATAAAGCATTGTAACCTTCAAAATATATCAGCTGGTAATAAATCGCCTACATCTAAGTCCTAATCCACTTCACAAATCCCATATAGATCCTGAGCAGATCCGAATTGTCGTTTGGTGGGATGGACAAATTGTTAAAGCGTTGGCTCGTCACACCAAAGGCTTTGGTTCGATTCCCAACATAAGATATTGAAAACTATATATAAAACCTAAAGATATGTTGCAGATGGATACATCTACGACTGTATAAAATACATCACCGACATCCCGTATGGGTTCTGGCTCAAAATGTGTCCCAATCAACCTATGCCGGTCTTAAGAGGCAACTTAATGAATTGTCAGGCTTTGTGACATGGTTGATGTCGTGGATCGTTGCTCATAATACCCACAGCTGAATTGTGCCTCGATTATTTACTGGTCGTCATCATATATTAATGTGTGCAGCGTTGTTGTTTAACAAACATTCATTACCAACAACATCCCTGAGATAATGAGTTTGTTTATGGTCAATATCTATGTGGCACCACGTACATGGATGATGATGGATGTTCGTAACAACTGTAAATGGCAACAACATTACTTTAATGGTTAATGTATATATAAATATTGTAAAAGGTAATATAAGTCAATACTGTAAGTAACAATGCCTTTAGTAAATGTCATGACTGATATTCCTTAGGACAAACGAAATAAGATGCCAGAAAAAGTCCCTATTAGATTTCCCGAGATTGTTACTGTTGCACATTAACACTCGCGGAAAATCTAATAGGGACTATTTCTGTTGTCACTGTTGCACATGACCCGTGAAGATTCCGGGGTAGAATAGGTCTTCAGCAACCCATGCTTTCTGTAAAAGGTGACTATGCTTGTCATAAGAGACGACTAACGGGATCGGGTGGTCAGGCTCACTGACTTGGTTGATGCATGTCATCGATCCCAATTGGTTGGATCGATGCTCATGATATCAATCACTGGATTGTCTGGTCCAGACTCGATTATTTACAGACCGCCGTCATATAGCTGGAATATTGCTGAGTGCGGCGTTAAACAATAAACCAATCTATCAATCTACTGTTGCACATCAAGTGACATAGGACATGCTATCACTTTGTTACAAAATAGCCTTCATTCTTTGCCTGCCTTACCCAAAATAGCTCTTGTTGTAATAGACAGTGCACCGTGCCAAAGCATGCAAGATTTAGGTACAAAGGTGCTGACCTGACATGACTGGAAAGGCGATATGGTGTCTACCATACCATGTCCAAAAAAAAAACCAATATTGCAGTGCCGAAAAAGGCTACTGAACCACAGCTACATATCATCAAAGCTAACAAGACAGCGGCAGATTACACTGTTGTCAGACAGACAGATAATACATTAACGTGTCTCCTCATTTTTTCGAGTATATACCTACATTAAATGAAATTCACAGGAATAAAAATGTGAGAGACAGTGGTGAAAAAACGTACTGATAAAATAGCGTACCATATCTTATATACAAGTGTCAGATACAAAATGAATATCGATGCAATAAAAAAAACCCACAGAATTCTAGATTTGATACAGGAATTGCTGATGTGTATCTAAAATACGTTTACAGGTTTTGGCACACATATTTACTTATAACTGGCTTGAAAAAATAGAATCAGTTCTGACTATATCATCTTCCATGTTAATATTAGGCCATATCTCATTGCATTTCTGAAGTAACACCTGCTGATAAACCCAGTCAACATGACATGTTTGTACTCACATCTACTGAAGGAATGTACTTTTCAATTTCTAAGATTGGGGATGATGGACATAAGGAGCATTACTTTTGATGTAAACAGACGTAAAGATAAACATTACCAAACTGAAAGTTGGACACGTTTTGTACAAACCCCGAATAATGTAACAAAATGGTTGAGAATCAATCGCCTAACCACAACCAGCCTGCTGTGTAATGAACGTGCTAGATCACCCAGATCAGTGAAACCTTTGCTGCACTTGCAGCATGCCAGCCTACAAAGATGGTGATATGAAAGGAACGATGTACTGGTTATTCACACCCAAACCACTGGACGGTGACAAATAACATGCTAAGATTGATGGTACTAAAATAAGAACAAGCCATTTGTATGTTACATCAAGAAGTAACGCATGACCACGTTGCAAGGAGTTTTGTCTGTAGCTGGAATGATAGTCACCAGGCAGATGGTCCATTATAGGCACACTGGATGGACGGGAGACAGACGATACTTCAACGTTGATGGTGTTGGTGAGGCGGCAACCTTGGCCGACACCACGACTAGTCATACAACATAACAATACCCATGAACGTCATTACATTAGCATTTCATAAATATTGAAAGTCCACATACTCATGCATTTCTCCAATCACTAAGATCAGTTTTTGCCTGAGACTGGTCAGAATAATGACACACTCACTGACATCATCATAAAATAGAAACAGGTGACACCAGACCCATTAGACTCCCTTTTTATAGGCACAACTCACCCATTAGGACAAGTGCAAGCTCAGTTCTTCTGAATGGCACTCTCTTAATGTCATGGTTAAAAAACATGATAGCTCTTACCGCTTTGCCGTAGATTATAGACGCCTCAATGCAGTTAACAAATCTATTTTTCTCCCTCTACCACTTTTGCCAATATCTATAGTGTGTTTGATGGTGCTAGTGGCTTTTGGCAACCAGATGCAAAACATAAGTCGGCCTAAATTACAACCGATGGAGTTTTTCGATGGAATCTCCTCCCTTTTCGGCCTCAAAAATGCTCCTATGGCAATTCTGCAAACCATTTCAGAGGCAATAAAGAAATGAATTGGCGTTACATACTAATATATGTAGATTACATAATATTTTCTAAAACGTTTTTTGAACATTTGAATCACCTCAAGGAAGTATTCCCAGAGATAAAAAAAGCAGGACTCTATCTAAAACCAGGCAAATGTAAATTCGCAACAAAACTAGTCACCTACTTAGGGCATATCTTCATCACGATGGCACCATTGTCGATCCTTCAAAAATAGATTCGTTCACACAGATCACGCCCTCTAAAAATGTCTATGACTTGTGTCGTTTCTTAGATTTGGCCTCGTATTATTACAAATTTGTGCGAACCTTTCTGGCATCGGCTTCCCTCTATACAAACTTCTGAAAAATGATGAGTCTTTCAAATGGTCCAACAATTGCCAACATGCCCCAAACCTTGCATCCGGACCACAAAAACCCTTCAGCTTCACAACTGATGCATCTCAAACTGCAATAGAGTACATTTTAGGCCAACTTGATTCCCATGACATTACTTGGAATGATGTTGTTAATTCATGTCTTTTGACCACACAAGTATCTTCTTGTTGATTGGTAACGTTTCCTTTGCTTGTCAGTTTCCAAGCATGGGTATATAATGCTAAATTGCCAAAAACTGTTATGGTCTCTTGAAATGGAAGATTTATAGATGAAATGATTATAAATAAATAAGGGTTAGAGGCATACTGTCTCTCATTGTCATGTCTCTCTGTCAAAGATTATGGCACTGCTCACGAATGATTTTGTGTTGATGAGGATGGCCATTTTGTGGTCGATACTGGCTGTTATTCTTTTCAAGCAGAGATGGAGACTGCATTTGTTTACACAAATCTAGGAGCTTTTGTTTTTACACACACACACATACACACACACAACCACCACCCCAAAAATGGTCCGCTCCTAGAGTTTTGTCACACTTTCTCAATTAAGGTTCTCTCCAACGCACTTGTGTATTTATAATTTGGTAGAAAAATCTAGAAACACATGCCCACAATGCTTATTTTAAAATATATGGTGAAACATTCAATCATTTTTAATGTGTGTTGTTTTATATCCTGTTCAAAATTCGAAGTTTTCTTCACACGAATGCATTGCTGCTTACATACTGACACACATGAATTGCCTTATATAGGTTTACAGATTGATTGCAATCGTCCAGTTCAGCAAAATATAGACAAGTATTGCCCCCGTCACCAAAAATCCGATCCAACATTTTCGTCCTGTTGATCTTGATGTTAATGTTGACACATCTTTCTCCTTCTGGAGAAACATATAGCACTCCCTCAGTCTCTTCACTGTTGTCTGAAATACAGAGATAAATTAGGCTTATTGTTCTAATTACGGAAACTACAATGTCATTTAAGTTATCACCCTCGTTATCCTAGATACAGGAAATCTACTATTGTAAATATGTTTTGGGATGGATGTCACAACGGTTCTGTACTTCCTATGTAAGATTGGACTGAATGATAGATACTGGTTGAGATGCCAGTAGGACAATCGTCTTGTGTAACATAACTGTACGTCCAAGGATTGAAATGATTTTCATACCGTATCTGGAAACATGCATCTTCTCTGCGAAGCTAGATCGTGGACACATCCATACATGTCAAGTGGAGGATGGTTCATCCTTTCCATGAGGTAATCCAAGGCAACAAAAATAGCAGCAGGTCCTTCACCCTCGCTTAAACATTAAACGTATAAGTGATATACAGTATATCGTCTTTCATTCGTATGGAAAAGTAAGAACGATCTCCTACAAACGAGGAGACAGAGCCAAAGTAGTTTGTAACAATATTAATCTTTAGATAATCCGGTGGAATTTTCAAAATGATCACATATAAAATAGTTACAGGCTTGGCCGTACTAGGATTTATATTATAGAAACAGCTTATCTCAAATTATTCATGATGCCTTTAGGCTTGGATGCAGCTATCTTAACGCAGATCAGTAAAATAGGCTGTCACATATTTAGGATACTAAAATTGGTTCCTATGGATATCAATCTTTTTTGTGTTTACACATTACTGTATTCTTCGAAATGAATGTATTTTAAAAACATTGTTACTCTTTATAAACATTGCTATTCTGAAATTCATATTTGGGTAAGGCTGACTAAATCCCAATTTTAGATTCTTTTCAAATCATATATTAAAAACTGACAAATTTTCAGTTTAGTAGATGAATTTATGATAAATAAACTGCAAATACATTCACCATATACACAGATCTCGCTTGGCATGCTTAATTCATTTGCAGCATGCATTATGTATCATGGAGCGCTATTACCATAATGCCGTTGACCATTCGATTTTCGTATTTTGGTGAAAATGTATCTGTCTGAATCAAATACCTACAGTAAAGATATCAGGTTTACCTCGAAAATATTGTTACTGGTGATTCGTTGCTTTTAAAGCTTGAGACGTTTCTCATTTCCTTCAGAAAATCACATAAGCTGCTCTTCCGATACCAGTTGTGCAAGAGGTAGAGATTCACATCCCTCTCTATGCCGTGCTCTGTTGTCTGGAGGACAAGATTATGTCAGTAAAATCATGTTTCATGTCATTGTCAAGATTTATAGGAATAAGATGCATTTGTTTCTTGTTTTTCCTAAAGAAACTGATACGCCACAGACGCTGGGCTTTTAGTTTCTGCGGGTTTTTTTTGTGATTAAACCACTCTGCTAAGAGAAAGGACGCCACTGTCTTTGGTCAAAGTAGGACCTGCTTAAATCGCACATTGACATGACTGGATATCACCTTATCGAGTTGAACAGGTCATACTAAATTTATATTTACAAGAAAAGGGCGTCCATTGACTGTTTCATCGATCAATAAGTTTGCAACGATCAACAAGTACATTTTAAATATGAAACAACAAAAGACAACGACTTATACATATTCAAGTTTCAGAGTGAGTAAACTGACTTCAGCATGTGCTATTTTTATGAAGGATAAAATCATCGATTTACCTTCTGGTCGAACGTTGTTTCACCAGAAATGAAATGACCAGATTTCATAAACATCAAAATTCAAAATAACCACAAAATATATCAAATACGCACTTTTTGTATCTTGAGTTTCCGAACTGTGTATGACGTCTTCTTGGTGAGAGTTCCGTTCGTTTGTACACGAATTTGCCCAAAGTCTACTTGACAGTTTACCCCTCTCAGCTTCCGATCAACCTTGAATGCATTACATTGCATAATTTAATTAAACACCAAAAACATTTATGTACGTTTATTATTATTGCCAAATAAGTGAAGATAATTTTCACTGGAATGAAATTGTTTGCTTTGAAATCTCAACGGCTTAACTTTATGATGTGCTCAATTTGAAAGATACTTATTCGTTATATGTGGTACATACCTCATTGGTTGGTTTTGTTGACAAGACAACAATTGTACCAACGTGTCGTTCCCAAATCATACGCCAAAAGGAATCTTTGGTATTCTTCATCGGTTCTGCAAGATAACAATATAAGCACGTGTTTGACTGATGTAATAAGTATCTAAATGTACAGCGATATTATAACCTCCTGGGACATTCAATATGAAAAAAACGGTTTCAATTGAGATATTCAATCGTAATCAATTGTTCGTATATTAATCAGAAAGCATGTGCTTGCACAGTGCCATCATTTTTAAACAACAAATTCCATTCAGACAGTTGTGGTTCTGCACTGTAAAACGATGATGTGACGGGATTTTTAATAAAGATGTGTTTATTTTACTTACGTTGCGTGATTATGTAAGACCTTGAAACTCCCAAATTGGTACCCTGAAAGAAATATATTCCTCATCAAGTTACGAATGAATTCCAAAAATCATATTGCATTATCATGTTTGTCCGTTATATCTTTACCTAAACGCGTTGACGATGTTTAGGAAGGTGTAATTTGAGAAGCAACGTTGAATGTAATACAGATAAGAGGTTTCAGTTCACATTGTATATTGATTCTGATTCAAGCAACCATTGGTGAAGAAAGTGTTTATAAAGGAGAACTTATTCTCAGTCCCAAACGGTAGGAATTTTTTCAAATATTTCTATTGGCATATGAATAGTATTACCTAAAGCATATCTCTACAAAGCATGTCCAGTACTCAAGAACAAAGATCATAGTACATGTACATGACACAAATTCGCAGAGGTCTCAGCAACAAGTCGAGAACACAGACACACTATAAAAATATATCCGGGAGTCACCACAGACCTCACACAAAAATCGAAAGATGCCAGTCAACAGGAATAGAACACAACTTACGTTTACAAGAGATGCGTTGATGTACTCGTCATTTGAGAGTCTGACACGATTGCAATCATCTGGAAAGAAGAAATATACAGAATGAAAGAAAGAAAACCCGTTTAAACATGGTTAATATGACCATGTCCTGTTGCTGCATTAGTATCGTTAATGAAATGAATAAACAAATTAATAATGTTATGATTTGTTTTACGAAACATGTGAACCATGTTTTTACAAGTGGTCTTCTCATAAGCTGGACATGCCAGTGTCCAGACAACTTAAAGTAACACAATATTGCAATAGCCACTTAGTTTGTCTTTTAGCTATTACCTATTGGCGAAACCCGTATGGACCTTCAATTACAGATTGACAGATAACACGAACAAGAGAAAATATTATTGATTTTTATGTTAGATTTTGAAAAATATCTTGTATTATTTGCATGATAAATGTATTCTGTCTTTTTTTGTAATTATTGGCACGTCCACCCTGTTAGTTTAAAACTGCTAAGTAAAAGTGTTCCGTTGCTCATAGCTGTGAAACATGAATGCCAACGCCAGAGATAAACCATGCTCGATTATCCGTCGAAACAAATTCCATTAGGCGTAAAAAGCTAAACAGCCGTGAAGATTATTGATGGATCACTGAATGTCAGTGAGGACACCAGGTGGTGTGGTTTTATTGTTTGAAGTTGATCAACAATCCGACTTAGGAATGATAACAGAATTTGATGTCTTAGGCATCCCTGATAACTGGATGTGTTACTATTGACATGTCTGTATAATGGGAGTGACCTGGTATAGCTGAATACTTTACATAATGAACACTTCAGAGGTAAGGTGTATTTTGAATAGCGTGTATAAATTTCTACCTGTTATTTGAACCATAAAGGAAAGACTAGTGATCTTACATGGATACGAATATCTGTTGTTATTTTTGGCCTTGTTCTCCAAAGCAACGCTAGCGGCTTCGTCGTCTTCATCATTCGGTATTTCCTGTAAATATCAAATACATATAACATAGCAGTAAACATATATGTAAAGTTAGAAAATGCGCTTTCAAGCCTCGGTCAGGAACATTATTAGACCACGTAACTAAGAATCACTGGTTATCTGTAGAGTTGCTATTTCATCCTTGAAATACATTGTTTGGATCATATTATCGAATCTGATGTGCTGGCGCCAGGACTTTTGTAAATTTAGAGAATAACCAGTCTCAATTTTGCTACGAAACCGATTCCATTGGGCGTAAAATGCAAAATAGGGGTGAAAATGTCATGAATGGAACACTGAAAATCAGTGATGACACCATGTGTTCGCGAAAAGGGTAAGCATGTCCTACCCTACCAGTAGCAGCCGTTAGTAAGAGATATATACAGATACGGTTGGGATTGATTTACAAAGTCGCAACAATATGACTCATCATACTTGATTGTTTTTTCAATATGTGAATATTGCATTAGTAGTTTTTTTCAAAAACAATTTTGATCAATACCTGAAACCTTTTCTCTATTGTGTCGTCGGCCAAGGGTTCTGCTTGTGCAAAAGAGGTAAAGAAACTGCATTAGAGAAATATATCTAAATAATGATGACATTTATATCGTTAAATTGTAGTCTCGTCTAATAACTATTTTATCACACTTCAGTATTGAATCCACACTATTCATAGCAGTAACTACGTAACAATATGAATTGATGGTACGCCCTAGATCACACAAAATATCAATTGGAAGGCCGAAATAAAAGACGAAACAACGAAGTACCGATTGATCGATGATCTGCAAATAATCCGATGGCCAAAGACAGTGTTTAAAATAACAGCTGATATAAATTCATATCAATACTATCAAAGGTAAATATACATAATATACTGTTTATTAGTTTCAATTACGCTTTGTTAAGAAATATGACGTATATTAGGTAATAATGATAGCAAACTCTCCCAACTGTGAACATCTTCCTTAACATTTTACTGCACAGACGTGTTAGTTCTTGAAATCATGTCGAATAACAAAGGGAAATCCAGACTACGGATGATATTGTTTTCAGCATGCTATCACAACCATGTTGCACTAGTAAACTGTTCCTTACTATCACATCTAATGCAGGTATAGAAGAGAGGCAGGAAGGCGTATTTTGTCAAGTTATACCCCCGAAAATGATACAGACACATCACAGCTCGTTTGAAAGCTTATATTTTGCATCCGGATTTGCATATGTTGTAGTTAAATGTAGTCACAATTTCTGTAAAGCAGTATGAGTGATTTTTCTTGGGGTTTTCATCACCAAATTCTATATACTCAAGTATGAAATCACTCAACTGAATACAACGTGCCACTTCAATATAACGCCAAAGAATACCCGTTTCGATTATCGGACGAACAGATACCTTTAAGAGTAAATGGCAAAATAATAGTGGAAATTATGTGACTGGATCACTTAAAATCAGTTTTATGACACCAGATGTTCGCAAAAATGGTAAGCATGTCCTGCCCCACCGGTAGCACCCGCCACTGACACAATTTGCATAAATAGTATGTGTTTGTTGTCTCACACCATACAGCGGTATTCCTGGCATGCGACGGCAGCATATGCACACCAAACAATCTATGACATGAAAACGCAGGAATTTACTTATCCGATTGAAACTAACAGTTACATGTTATCCCTGGCCGAAACTTGATAAATGCTACTGAGGACCTCAACAGTCGAAACATATTCTATTGGGGTAAACGGCAAAATAGCCGTGAACAACAAAGGTTGTTGTTGTTGTTGTTTGCTTTGACATCAAATATTTTCTGCACAAAATATATTTGAATAATTGATAGCTCTGAAGAAAGTGACAATTTGACAGTGACTCTCCAGCTTACAAAACAAATGTTTAACTTTTGGGGGACTATTCTATATTTGTATTCTAAATCGAATTCTTTTTCTGCGAAGGTTATCCTGTCATTCATTGGGTTCTTTAACTAAAAGCACAATTTAAACCCATTATGGCTGTATCAATAAGATTTCGCATTTTCAGTCATAGACTATAAATATTCGTTGATTACCATGACTGCTTTGAGATATTCAGCGCTAGTGCAAAATTCAGGAACTGATATCAAGTTCAGCGCATCTAGCGGACTCTTTGGTCGTAAACTGTCTTCTATTAGACGATGTTATAAGGAACACATGCTAATAACACTGTTGGAAATGTTCAGTGACTGGGAAACGCGTAAGTTGGTCTGTGGTCAAGAATGTCTGTTTTCATATATTTATGTTTTACTTAACCATACACAAAACACAATTATTTGAATTCCTATGTTCCATGGACCATCTGAATGGAAGTCTATTTGAGGCAACATAACGAAAACCCATAATCCATTTAATTTGTTTACTGACTGAAACTCCCAAACTGGATGCCCGGTGTAATGGTCGCGTCTCCTCGCAAAATATCTGGTTCGGCTTTTTTCCCTTTATCTGAGTACAAAAGAAACATAAACTTGATATAAACAGACACATTCCACACAGATACAAAGGAGAAAACAATCTTACGTCCCGCTGGATCAGTGCGTTTCCCCTGTTCGCCTCGCGTCTTTTTACACCTGAAATCAAATATTTCATTTGGAAAATGTGCAAGTAAATACGTCTACAAGAAGTATTCTACAGTATTTGTGATATCATTTAAAACATATGGTTTTCAGCTTTCATAGTATGATTATTATATTGCTACCTTGGTAAAACATAAACTTGTGTATGTTTACGATGTATTAATATCACAGTGGTTATCCTGAACTTCATCATTCGTTGTTCAATTAGTCTATTCACTCTAACATCAACAAACCCATTTCATTCCACACGTGGGGATAAGGCCGTCCCCATATAATATTTCTGGTGATTATCCATGCGTGACCTGGATGTGCCAGCTATTATACATTTCATAAACTACAATTCAAGACATTCAGAACATTCAAGTGATAATACGTGTGCTCTCTAACAGATATACAAATTGAACTGATGCCAAAATGTTTCTTTGAAGTAATAAGGGAATTGAATTAAGGGACAGGGCCAGGCTTGCGCAGCTCAACTTCGGAGCTGTACCACCAAGCCAGAAAAGAATATTAAACAAACAGGATATTGAGACTAAAGGGACACCTTCCCCATGAACAGAAGACTGGAGGCTTTCGGCAACCTTACTTGGGTAAATAAACTCTTGGAAAACTATTGGTGAACAATACGTGAGATGTGATGCCATTCGAATATTGTGAGATCAATGGTTTGCTGTCGTGTCTCAACAAAACATATAGTGGGGCGGTTAAGGCTGGATTTTAGTCATAATTGTGCACTTTGGGTTAAAAGCACCAAACTTGGCACACTTATACATCGAAACATTCCGAACATTTCTGGATATGGATCGACCTCAGCAGCAGCAACTGGTGGTAGAAAATCCAAGATGGCCGCCAAAATGGTTAAAATCTCTTATGACGTCAAATTATATTCAATATATCATCATTATGTTGTCAATTTTAGTCATTTATATAAAAGTAATTGAGTCAATGTTGTATATAATTCAAATCTAATATGCAGCGCCCACTGGTGGCGAAGAAAATACAAGATGGCCGCCAAAATGACTTAATCTTCAAAAAATGTCAAATGTTTGTCCACTATATCAGTAGCATTTGCTCATTGCAATCACTGCAATCAAATATGGCTTCAAAACCATTCCAAGTAATGCTTTACTGAATGTATAAGCTTTTGGTACTAAAATTCATTCACTTGAAGCAAGATCTGTATTCCGTAAGGCAGATCTGGGGAATATATTGGACTGCATGAACTTGGTTAAAATTCGGTAACAGAACTTGGAATGTGATAAAAATATTGGACCAGCACTTAAACATGCCTTTTTGATTCTGAATCATTAAGGCTAACTAAACAAGCAACACTTATCCACAGACGTGATTTAAGGTTGCAACAAACTTTCAGAGGAACATTTCCTTCTGACTGCCATAAACAGATTGTACCTGTCTCTTTGAAAGCTCTAGTGAGTATGAAATCTGTAGGACCAGGTATGAAAAAAACTACGGTAAACTACAGTTATAACGAACTCAAAGGGACCACTAATTTGAGTTCGTTGTAACCGTTGTTCGTTATAAACATATATACACCATATATACAGCAAATGGCTTGGACCAAAAAACCAGTTCCGCCAGTTCGTTTTAAGCATGTTCATTATAAACATAGTTTACTGTATCTCAGGACATCTTGTCTTCAAAGTGTGAAATCTGGGTGTATCAGCTCATCAACACAAAGACACCACTGAGACCGAGAAATACAAGTCCCAGTTTACTTGGTATTAACAAGAAAACGTGATCTTGTTGACACATTCCAAAATATGGTGTATTCGAACAGATATAGCACAGTTTGTGGTGTTTATGAAGACGAAGGTGTGGTATACCCACCAACATTCTAAAAAGATAACATCTATCATAATCCCTGCTCTACAACAGCAACATATCCACTTCATGGTACCAACATTTCACTATTGCAGCAGCGTTCAAAAGCTAAGAGGAAGGAACATTGTTCCCGTGGATTCGTGACACACTAAACTAAAGACTAAACGGACATTCTCTTGTGTGGCACAAGGTCAGACACATGAACAATTCAATAGCCGTATGAAAGGAGATAGAGATGCAGTTGGATTGACTGAAACAGCCGAGAGTTTTCTTCTAGAGGCCCACGGAATTCAAAGACATTGTCACTATTTTCTGCCATCACCGGTTCATATGCTTGGGATACGTGTCAAGTATTTCCTGAAGTCACCAATGCTTTCCCATCATCAGCAGATATCTCTGACAACAAAATGCAGAATCTTGAGCGGTTTGTCGTTCTCACTGGTTTCTTTGGAAGGTCAAAATCTCTGTTCATGAAGATCTCAGACAATTGACATTTCAACCCAAAGAGGCAGCTCTGAGACAGCACCAATGCATATATGGGGATAGGTGCTTGACAAACGTCCCACACTACAGAATCTTGTAGCCAGGGGTTGGGAGAGGACATGCAGTAATATATAGATACCCAAGTGGACAACACTTGGTCAGGTACAAAGAAGTGTCATAAACTAACACTACACCTGCAAGAAATCTTGCAAACCTTAGTAAACTTTACACTGCCTGCCTGTACAGTGCTATGTGATACTTGGAAGGAAAGAGTTCACTGTAAGTGAATTATAGAACCGTAAACACATACATTGAACCGATATTCCTGGTCCTACTTAAGTAGGAAGTAAGTCAATGTCATAGGTTCATGGCAATAATGTCAATAATACCTTTACATACATTCTTGTTTTTAAGATATGAATCCATTCCCAGTTGAATGATTTTTGGGTGATCTAATATAAACTGGGTGGAACCTTTCTCAGTAGACGATTTATAAATTAATATGCCGAGAATAGATCATAGACAATACATATTAATTGATACAATGTCATTTAAAATAATTCATCATATCAAAACTTATCAACTTATCCTTAGTCCAAAGATATCAAATGATATCTATATCTGCTGTAGAAATAGACAATTTCTGAAAACTAAAACATATTGGAGGCCATCTTGGACTTTCATCACCACCAGGGTGCTGCATACTAGGTTTGAATTATATACAGGATTGTTGTGATTACTCCTAAATACATTACAATGATAATTTGTATAAATTGGCCAGATAACTATGATGTGTTGAGTACAGATTGATATCATTAGAGATTTCAGCCATGCTGCCGGCCATCTTGGATTTTCTACCACCAGGGGGCGCTGCAAACTATATTTGAATTATATACAGCTCTGCTGCAATTCATGCCGCATGTATTAGTATGGATATATGTATAAAAGGATCGGATAAGTATGATATATTGAGTATATATTGATACCATTAGAGAGTTCAGCCATGTTGGTGGCCATCTTGGATTTTCTACCACCAGGGGGCTCTGCAGCGGTGGATCCATACCCAAAAATGTTTGGAATGTTCAATGTATAAGTGTGCCAAGTTTGGTGCTTTAACCCAAAGTGCACAATTTTAGCCTTAACCGCCCCACTAATAAGACAACTGAATCTATTTTATTATTATCATTATTATTCATTCTCAAAGTAACAATAAATATGATACAGATTACTTCGGTGTTATGTATTCTCTATCTATCTAAGGTAACAGAAGGCAACTTAGCTGTGCGTTCATCTGGACATGCTGTTTTAAGCTGTCTTACAAATGGTAGGTTGCCCATGCATTAACCAAGTCTGACCACCCCATCCCTTTAAACATTATTAGTCGTTTGTTTGAAGACCGATTTGTACCCGGATCTCCAGGAAGGTCAGATAATATTTGATACTGTATGATATATGAACACAAAAGAAGTAAGCAATATCAACAATCGTGTTTCTAAGTTGAAAAAATAAACTAAATAAAAGATTGACGCACATATTTAATGTTTATTTAAAACTACTTACCTTAACTGCTGAATTTTTTCCCATAATATCTGTTCAAAGCGGTAGAAGATGAACCAGAGAACCACATACACCGAGTTAACTGTAGTGCCGATCCAATACGCTGCAGAACAGTCATCTAAATAGAGACAACGGTCATCAATGTTACTCAAAGGTAATCAAGTTGAAAGATTATCAGCATATCTAATTAAATATGTGACAAAACATTTATTGAATACAACAGGCAAATAACAGGAACAATGTCTTCATAAAACAAATCTGACCAGTAAACCAACAAGAGAGGGTCAATTACTGATTATCCGAGCTAAATAAAAAAACGTAACCAACCCAAACCTTTATGGAGGTCATTAATGTTCAGGTGAAGTTTGCAGGTATTTAGTAGATACCCTAACCGACAGTGTGATCTCAGTTTCGAAGTTTCGAATGTAGAAAGATTAAATATTTGTAAATAATGAGGTATGAAAATATCCCTTTTTGGCCCACTAGAAACGATAACTTTGCAATTTTGGTATGAAAAGTGTCATACATTTATAAATGTTTTTTTGGTTGATTACACATACAAGTTGTGGACTTCTGACATGCTCAAATACAAAAGTGTGGGACCCATGAAGATCCGGGGTAGAATAGATCTTCAGCAACCCATACTTACCGTAAAAGGCGATAATGAGTGAGGATAAGATATATGGATGAACAACTTCTTTATAATTTTTCTGTTAAGGAATAAGCAAATCAGCAAATAGAGCTCTGTAAATTTGAATTAGAGGGTGGTGTGTCATTTTCAGTTTTTCATAAACTCTATGATAATCTTGTTCAGCCTATACTTTCGTACGGTTCGGCTATAAGGGGCTCCAAGCAATTCAGCTGTATTAATTCTGTTCAAAACAGAGCTGCTCGTTTCTTCCTAGCGGAAAAAAACAAAACACCAAATTTATCAGTCCGTGGCGAAATGGGGTGGACGAGCCCACTCACAAAACAGCGTATTGAAATATTTCGTTTTTAGCGGCGAATTCAAGCGGTCGACTCCAATTGGCTTTTTTGTTTGATTAGTAAATGGTCTACAAAATTCCTTAAATCCTGGGTAAACAATGTTTTGACTTTGCTTAATAGTTTAGATCTAAATGTCTCTGGCGGTATGCATTTAACCCAATCCGATTTTCCCAGTTAAATATAAGTTATTAGCGTTAGATGCGCATAATGGTATTCAGAATTGTGGAATGATAGATGTTTACAAAATGGAAATAAGCTTCGTAGTTATAGATTGTTCAAACACTCGCTGTCTGCTGAACCCTATGTTACATGTATTATGAACAGGTCTCATCGTAGTATCCTAAGCAAGTTACGTTGCGGCACATTACCCTTATAAGGTGAATTTGGTAGATTTGCTAAACCTATCACCCCTTTACAGGATAGAATTTGTAAATATGTACTGATAAGGCTGTAGAAGATGACATACATTTTCTCATTAATTGTCCATTTTATTCTGAAATGATTTATAGTCCTACATTTATTTCATTCCCTCTTATACTAGGAGCGACGTTTCGGTGTACACCGAAACGTCGCTCCTAATTGTAATAAAGAAGTTGCGACTATGCTTTTCGTAAGATGCAACTAACGGGATCGGGTGGTCAGGCTCGCTGACTTGGTTGATGCATGTCATCGATCCCAATTGCGTGGATCGATGATCATGATATCAATCACTGGATTGTCTGGTCCAGACTCGATTATTACAGACCGCCGTCATATACATTGTAGCTGTAATATTGTGGCGTTAAACAACAAACAAACAAAAGAATCCTCCTCCTAATCACTTACTTTTAATGAGGCTCTGTCCGTGTGTAGGGGAAGGAGTTGTGCCAGTAGAAGGGAGTGTAGATGACGTTCCGTAACAATCATCACCAGGGTTGCAGGTTCTGCACTTGCATGTTTCAAAGTCACAATTGGAGCAATTTCCACTACATTTTTCTTTACATCCAGTGCTAGGAGAGCAGTGTCCAGCAATGCAGCCTGTACAAGCCCCAGTAGATCGGTTACAAGACGTTTCTGAACATTTGTCTGAACAACGGAGTGAACAATTGGTTTCATAGAAGCCATCTGTACATTCTCTACAAGAACCATTTTGCATATAACAGTCATATTGGCAATGTCCAATGCATGGCGACGCACAATCGCTTCCATAAAACCCTCGGGAGCATTCAGTACAATGTGTTGCATTGCAATAAAGGCAGTTGGTGCCAAATTTGACACAAGAACCTGTAGAAAGATGGATATAAAAATTATCATACAAAAAGTACGCATAACCCACTTGTTCATGCTTTATGTGTTTAATATTCTCATACAGAGTGATTTTCACAGACGCTCGTATTCATTTTACTTTGATACCTCCAATCTCATCATTCTGAAATCCGTCAAGAGAGGTAAAGCATGCTATGTTGAAATACATATCGCCGTTGATTCAGGTCGTTACTGTGCCAAACACTTGTTATTCATGACACATATGTTTTTTGTGTTTCTTTTTTGTTTAATTGTTAGATAACGTCCACTAACATGAACTTTAAACTTTTATTTCAACATTTACTGAAATATTTCACGTCTTTAAATATGTTGTTTAAAGTTAAATAGATATATTTCCTGTGACACTTACATGTTACAGACATTATCCTTAGTTGAAGACAATAGAGACCCAATACCAGAATCTTGATGAAATGCATAGTCAACTGAAAAAGAATCAGATATTATAAGTAGAAAGAAGTCAAGTACAACAAGCCACTGACATCAGGAGACACCAGCCAGCGATGAACCGTGACCAGGGAACAATCGGATGCCACTCAACATCCACTAATAATTGTTACAGTATTTACACAAACGCGCAAATTCTGCTTTATGTTTTGTAGCTATTGGAGTGAATGATTTATATGAGAGCTTACAGTTAAATGATTTTGTGTGAGCTCAGTTCGGGAGCAAAGGTCAACGAAATGCTGGACTTTTACGTTTACAATACTGTAAACACACACAAATTCTTACAAAGAATATTACACCACACTCAAACGCCCATCCGCCCAATCGCGCTATGACCCAATTTCTCAATAGCTGATATCAGTTCAAATATTATTCAGTTTTCAGGGTATTTTGGTCTAAAGGTCATGTTTGTAATGTAATACAGATCTACAATGTATACACTGATATAGACATTTTATATGCTCAAGCTTATGTGCAACACTACAAACAAACTTGTAGTATATAAGTACATGTACATAGGATCGATGTTAACAATGGAACTTAAAATATTATGTCCCTTTAACCAGACTTATCTGGCACATTGCATCAATAGTACAATGCATAAATTACCCCCCTTTTCTATATGAAAGGTTCCCCTGATCTTGGCACTTTGTATAACACATTGATTATTCATACCTTTAGCGTGAATTATCTTTCATAGCGCTGATAAATTAATTTTCATGGTAACAGCTTCATATCATGGACACACGCACTTAATCTTCTACAACTGCATACTGCAAGTCATTTGGACAATATTAACAGTGCGATCATGCTTGTCTACTCCCATTCAGCGCCCTGTTTCTATATATAGCTTGTGATCTCAACATCTGAATACAATGAAGACGACGCTTAAGATTCTACTATTTATACATGAAAGACACATTTCTAGCTTTGATCTACAACAAAGGATTGGCACAATCAGTCTGTCAGACAAACACAAAGAATTTATTTGAATTTTCATAGTATATACAAATTTGAGCAACATAGTCATAACTGTTGGGTAAAGAAAATTCCCAAATATGTGTCTGCTGATACAATTTCAAGTGTTTCGCCTCTGAACCACCAATTTTCAGTTTCTTTGACTAATCTTCCTCTGCGGAATACAATAATATTTGTCTTGTCCAAATTTAATTTCATAACAGATTTGACACAAAAGCTTGCAACACAGTCTGTTTCTGCATTCTAAAACCAGTGTCACTTGACTTCATATTATCATGAGCAAACATCAATGTGCTAATATTATCAACTGACTCATTGACAAAAACTAGTATACATTTGCAGTTTTCTGATTGTAGTAGTTTAACAAGATCATTCAGAAATAGAGTTAACATTATGGGGCAAATCACACAACTCACTGTACAATGCAAGTATTCCTTTAATATCAATCTGTCTATCACTACACATGATGTTAGTTGACAGTCTAGGGATGATATCACTCGAAAATACTTGTCATATTTGTAGAAGTACATAGGTGAGTCTGTGCACAATCAAAAGCCTTGGAAAATCAATCACCAAGCAATAGCAACGTCTTTTGAATGTAAGGATTGAAGAACACCAATGATACCTGTGGTACTAAACATTTTCTATGTCCAGCCTGATTTCTATATGTCTTGTCCTCTACATCACACCATTGACTGATTCTGTTGTTTAACTGATTGGTGAATAGTTTGTTTTTTCAATAACAGACATCAATTATATGTCTATGTAGCTGTCTGGACAGTCTTACTTGCTTTTTTTTGCAGTAGGACGATTATCGATTTCGCCCATACTGAAGGAAGCACACCCTCTGTAAGTATTTTGTTAAAAGGCAAGTGCTAATATGGTGATATGGTGATACTGCACATGTCAAGTATTCATGTAAAATACCGCCAGGTCCTGGTGCCCTGCCCTTTGGCAATTCACATATAACTTGCTCGATCTTACAGGTACTACCGAAATATCACTGGGCTCACATTCAACACCTTGTAGTGTGTTTATCAACGTAAGATTAAACTAATGGTCTACTCCAACCAAGGCATTACTTATAGTCCCTTAAAGTGTTCATACCAATCTCCAGGGGTGAATTGTACTGAACTGGTTCCCTTTCTTGAGAAATGTCTGGTACTTCTCCATAACTCTTGTGTAGAAATGTCTACATTTAGCACTTCTACAATAGTGTTGTTTACATACTAATCAGACCTAAGTTCCTTTGCTTTACACACTTCAGAGCTGATATAAATAGGCACACATCAGATCAACGATCGAAGCAACGCGGAGAAAACAACAAGGACTGTCCTCAAAACAGTTATTTTCAAACAGACTTCCCAATCTGAGAGTCGTTTAATGAATCCATAAAACAACCTAATATCTTAAGTATCGTCAAGAGAGTTCACGGTGAGGCTTAACCTTTAATTGTATCAATCAACAATATATTTGCCTTGGAATTTCAACCAAACGTACTACCTCAGTCTTAAACGTTGCAACAGGATCCCTTGTATTCGAAATATAAAAGAACATGATCAGTATGGTTCAAGGTTCGTTGCCGTTCGTCTGTGTATCAACTTAAACTCGGGAGATCTCAATCTTACGCATACGTCAGATCCGCTCGAGGTCCTTTCCATGCAGAAAGCGACGACACAACCAGGAAGTTACATATATGGAAAACTGTGCATGTTATCTAATATATACTGAACCGCAAAAGAAACGTCACCATGGATAGATATATGAGAAACCTTATTTATCCAAACACTGTAAACATACTTTGAGACATATTACGAATAGAACTCGCTCCCGTGTAAAACAAATTTTATGAAACTCGTAAATAGTTGGGGTATCTGACTCGCTTCCGCTCACCAGAACTATTCACTCGTTTCATAAAATTGGTATAACACGGGAGCTCATTTGAAATTGCAAGGCAAATATACTGTTGATTGATAGAACTTTTATTTATTACTTGCCATTTATAACTTTTTTAGAATTATACTGTTGAGTGTGAATAGGCTGACACCTACACGATTCACGGCATAATCCAATTGAGTTTAACAAAATAATACTTAAAACACGTCAAAAGTTGAAACGTGTTATTTTAATACCATACAACGGTCCACCTTTAGAATTCAGGCGTCCGTTCCACAGAGTTATCGTAGCGTTAAGGTTATCGCAACTCACATACATTAACATAGACTTACGACTGTCGTTGCGCTACAGTACGATCGCCTTGTGGAACGGGGCCCTGCACCACAAAGTTTACACTCACGTCACAATACCCGATGACGTAATTTGTGGAATTTTGTTGCAAGATCCATCGGCGAAACAATGCCATGTGACGTCAGCCTGGCAACAAGGTTGCTGGGGTCATCGTGTGTGCATAAGCTCCTCTCAGTGATCTATCATCTCCACACCCAATGTCGTTGAATAAGCCAAGGTATGTTGAGAGCTTTCTATATTTGTTGGTGAAACTTGTTCCGACAGTACACACGCAAGCACCCGTTTTGGTATTACACAATGTGTAATACAGCTGTATGTTTAAACGGGTGATCTCTTCACGGGCAAGTAATAAACAACGATATGCACTTTCTTATAAACATGTTTAACCATGCTGAAATTCTAATCATGTTTAGATCATGTTGATGTTGTGTTTAGGTGATGTATAGGCTGTGAAACGATAGCTCATTTCATGTGTATAGAACATAAACCTGTTAAGGTAGAACACACCAAATTTGTATTCCGTTTAGGATCTAGATCTGAACATATCTTGTACGTGACTACATTCTAAAATCATTTTTACAGCGTAAGGAATCTTAATTAATTTAACATTAGCTAAATTTAAAGATAGCCAAAATCAAGTTGTGTGCAGTGTTTGCATTACTTGATATTGTTTTTTCTGCCTCCTTAGGATCTTATTTTTACTGAAAAATGTGTTTGTATTAAATTAAAATGGGATCTGATATTAAATAATAACAATTAAAAAAACCGATGCTTGAAAAACGAAAGCTTTGTCCAAATAGTAGATCAACAATTTCCATGGATTTCTGTACACAGTGAGCTGAATTTTGAGGGTTTTGTACAGTAAATCCAATACAATAAACCTAAACACATCAAAGCACAAGGCGGATATGATTAGGCAATATCACGAGATGTACAAAACCATACATCAATAAACTGAATTTCAGTATCGATTTACATACATAACAATAAACTGAAGAGTTTTTTTAAATGTGACATCGGTGCGTGCGTACCTACGTCAGTTTTATTGTTTCGGCCCAAACATTTCTTTGGTTGACTCAGCATAGATACATGCTATTGAGGTTCTGATGAAACTCGGGGACTTGTCGAAACACATTCTATTTGGCGTAAAAGGCAAATTAGTGGTGAAAAGTATATGAATGGATCACGGAAATCCGTGATGACAACAGGTGTTCGCGGAAAGGATAAGCATGTCATACCCCACGGGTAGCACCCACCACTCACACAAATTCCTTTAAAAAGCCGACCAGACCAATGGGTAAATTTATACATATATTTGTCGGATGATCTAGATTTTCAAGGCAACGATCACTTCATATACTGAAAACATCCAATGAAAAAACACCTCTAGGTTTTCACATAAGTGTGGGGAATATCATGCTGTATATGACATCTAATAAACTACATACCTGAACTAGCCGGTAGCTGAGCCGGTATTCTCGAGCTTTGTAAAACCTTTAGCCTCGACTTCGAATGGGGCATAGGGGATAGGGGATATAAATAGCCACAGCTCAGATCCAACGCGACACCGGAAATAGCGGGGGACAGGAGTGTATAAATTACCACCAAAGACAATAAATAGATCTTAATACTGCACCCCACCACCCTCCCCCCCCTTTTAAAAAAAGCTGTATCCGCCCATGATGATAGTGTTTCATTTTAACTTACTATTATCTAATCAATAGCCTGCAACAATATATACAAACATTAAATGCCATGTCAATTGTAACTTGGAATGGCTGACAAGAACTGAAATATAAGAACTAAATAAATATAATAAGCCTCCATAACTGTAAATGTATGATCAATGGACCTGAAGCGGGACCAACGTGAACGTCCTTGCCTAAATGGGTGAGTCTACTCTTGTCGTAAACAAGCCTGTGACATGTAATGATAGGAGCTTGCCTGGAATTAAATATGCCTATGCATGTACACAAGCATGTGTCGAGCAGTTGGCTTGCTACTCGTGACAATATAATCAATCACCTCTGAAACTGAAAAGTATGAATGTCCATATTATTATATGAAAATGATTAACAATTAGTTTTGTTACTGAGTGCAGTAAGTTTTTGTGATTCACTATAAGGAGTTTAGGCAAACAAAAGATTAAGATTGACTTGCTTAATAGATTGATCGTTTGTAGTTCAGGCCACACTCTTCCTGGTGAAGCAGCCAATACCTACTTGGCAACGTAGCGACAAAACAATAGGTTTTCCATCAGTCTAGTTAGTATCCCGTGAACGGAAGTGAACGAGCAACTCTGTATGGGATAGTGTGATTTCCCCTCCCCATTAACGCGCCTATAACTTATTGTTAAAAATAATATTTAAAATTCTTGGCTCATTTGTGAATTTCATGATACATATATAATTTTTCTATCTAAAAAAAATTAAATACTATGATGCTGAAGCTTGAAAATACACAACAAACTTTAATGAGCTATGTATAGAAAAGAAGTCACTTATAAACCATTACTCACCTTCCTTTGCTGACGAAAGTAAAAATACGTGGAACTAACAAAGTTGCTTACATCACTAGTCAGGATTACGACAGCGTAGTTCCAGCTACGTGTATAACGCACAGAGGTATAAAATAGTGGGTACCTGTACAAGAAGCCGTGAACCTATTTTCATGTCACGAGGTGAGTCGTCATGTTGGTAGAGTTCTCAGTCCCTTTGGCGTATCCTTGTATTAAACCCCCATTTAGACTATACTGAATATGTTAATGTCGCTGTTATCATTCAAAGCATCAAAGGGGCGGTCGGGTAGCCTAGTGGTTAAAGCGTTCGCTTGTCACGCCGAAGACCCGGGTTCGATTCCTGACATGGGTACAATATGTGAAGCCCATTTCTGGTGTCCCCCGCCGTGATATTGCTGGAATATTGCTAAAAGCGGCGTAAAACCATACTCACTCACTCACTCACTCAAAGCATCAAAACTACAGAATATGTTTTAATTATTTAAGACTACACCCGCGATACATCCATTTATCATATAATGGGTAGGTTTCTCGGCAGGATAAAGCCAACGGATAAAGGCCATCCCTTGGGGTCATATGCGGATAGAGATGCAAATATCAAAGGTCAAGTAGGGGCTACTTTCACTGTTTATAAACAAACATGGCGTCGCCCTCGTCATTCGGCGATGAGTCAGAACTAACCATCGGGAATCTGTATAAACTACAGGGATAATTGCTATCATTATCTAAAGAACAGTCTAATATACTGAAAATCAGTGTCTAACTGTTACGTAGCGAAGGCATTTTATAAGTTTTGGCAACTTTGGAGAAACAATTTTGTGAGGGCACGAGGCCTAGCCAAGCGGGATTAGTAGCCATATCTGTGCTTGTAGACCTCTGCGGCTTGAAACCTTCTCGACAAATTAAAATAGTTGGATTTGGCCGAAATATGTTTGAATTGTTACCTTGTTTCGTTTTGTCGCTGTGTGTACATCTGACTACACTTCTTAACGTTATGACAGGACAGACCGACTGTCAACAACGTCTGACCGTGGCCGTGACGTCTCGTAGACTAGGTTTAGAGTAGCTTCCCTTCTAGCGGACAGACCGATGGATTGCCGCGAAAGGCAAGCAAAAAAAATTGTTTGTTTTGCGTATATGTTGCTTCGCCAATAATTATTAGGAATAAACACTAGGTATTTAGCTCGCCAAGGCTCGCTAAATACAATGTTTATTCCTCATGCAGGATATTTACCATCCCGAAAACACACTCGCGTGATAACCTCTGTGTCTCTTTAGTAAAACGGATACAACGCGTAGTGTGTACATTCATCCGCTACCGCGATATTGTGTTAACTTTGTGAATAGCTTGGCCATGTGTTACGTATAACCCAGTCTCTTCTCGGAAATACACAACACAACAAAGACGTTTTAGATCATTTGCAGTTTGCCTTGAATCTGTTCATCACAATGGTAATGATCTGGGTATAGTGTCAATAAGAGTGCGACGTAGTGTGGTTATTATCAACTTAGATTCATTTTGTAGACCCTCTATACTTAGTTTCATTCAACTGACAATTCGAAGTGTTAATTGATCTATGAGGTAGGCATTAATCTGTTGTGCCAAACAAACCTAATTCTAATACTTCGGTTTTCTAGCCGGTGTACCAATGCCCGTTGTTATGCATCGTCCACAAAGATGTCAAAGAGCACCGTACGACTCTGGCTCCAAAGTTGTTTGACCAGTTTTACATTATTTGAAGGCCCCAACACTTCTTTCCGAGTCCTTTTTTCAGGTGAACAATTGCTTTGCCTTTGCGAGTGTTTGTGCTATGAAAGGTGCCAACGATGGAGCACTTTTCGCTCAATTTTTCACGAACATCTTGTATCATATATTTGATAGTGATTCATAAGCACACGCATACATATGTATTTGGTTGGATGGTTGGTTTGTTGTTTAACGCCGCACTCAGCAATATTCCAGCTATATGACGGCGGTTTGTAATAATCGAGTCTGGACCAGACAATCCAGTGATTGATATCATGAGCCTCGATCCACGCAATTGGGATCGATGACGTGCATCAACCAAGTCAGCGAGCCTGTCCACCCGATCCCGTTTTTGCGTCTTACGGCAAGCATGGGTTGCTGAAATCTATTCTACCCCAGGTCTTCACGGGTCATATGTATTTGGAATCGTACAATGTCATATTATTTGGAACCGAACAATGGACTCTGCTTTTCGCAGACATGTCTTATGATTATCGGGGATGATTATGGAGAAACAAATATCTACATTTTTGTTTATGTAAGTTTTTGCTTAAAGGACAATCACCTTCATGGCAGGTGACGAATATCTGACACTCCTATCTTTCGGCCGTAATAACTGTTATATCACTTCACCTGAAATGTAGGAATGAATACCGTGATAGCTGACGCCATACCAATTGAGGAGTTATTTTAAGTAACCGCATTGAAGCTTGCCGTAACAGTCCCATTTTCATTTCCAGTGATAACGATTCATAAACACATTGCTTTTAATATAGTCGGGGTCGTACAATGGACTCTTATGATTACGGATAAAGGTTTTGTCGCTTTATTTCATACAAATATTAGGATGTGGTGACCCAGCAATATATCTCTACAGTGGAACACATGAGGGTGCCAGGGGAAAGTATGTTGCAGTTGTTGATAGTTGTTGTTAAGTTCTTTGGATGATGTAGGACATATTACTTTGGCATCAAAAGTCAGGCAAATACTCTTTCAGTATGGTTTTGGCTATGTTTGACAAGTCCAAGAAATTGGGACTGCAAAGTATTTTTTTTACTTGATTTTTGCAGAGATTAGGTGATAATTTAAAACAGTCATGGTATTCATCAGTTAATGCATCTTCAAAGTGTGTATTTTATAAAGTATATATGACTATGTTAAATGTTGACAGATACTTTTGTAGAGATATTCCAAAACACTTAAGAATAGTTATCTCTAGGTTCAGGTGGAGTAATCATAATATTGCAGTTGAAACTTGTAGATATACTGAAAATGAATATATGAACATAATGAAAGATCATGTCCATATTGCAAATCAAGGAGTCATTCTAACATTAACGATGAATTAGAAATTAAAAATTAGGAAAAAACTATATTGGTAATTTTATTCATGAACCTTATACCATGCATACAACAGTTAGTCTTTTGTAAAAATGAAAACCATGAAGCCATCTTTAACATTGGTTTATTTCTGTGCTATGTCTATAAAATTATTAACGTTTGTAGATACGTAAGGCCTTATACCGAATAAATATGTCTGTCTGTACGTCTGTTGATAGTTATGTTTAAGTCTGGCATTAAGCGGCCTCAGAAACATTGTGAGGGTCTACAGGGGTGGAGTCGACAGAACATCTGTTTTTTTATGTTAATGTGTTTGTTACGGGTGCCACCGAAGGGGCCTGATACGCGCACCTTTTAGCGAACACCTGGTATCATCACTATTTCATTATGATTCATAAACGCATGCTGATAATATGTTCGGAATCATATTTTTCAATAAGCAGAGATTCCTTATGATTATAAAAAGGGTTTTATCGTTTATATGAAGAAAATAGTATTGTATCACCGACTCGTGACGTGATCAAGTAGACATAATCTTTCTGTGCTACTGATGAAGATATCAACATAGTCAGGTCACTCGATGTGATAAACATGTTATATGACAAGAAAAGACAATTCCATAATTGGAATAGGAACATTGAATATTATGATAAACAAAAGACTTTTTGTACTGTATATATGCCAATTTGTTGATATTAGCAATACACACCTTTTGGTTTGTTTATGTATACATGTATGTATAGCATAGGACTATATGGATTTAATATCAAAACTGTTTTAACGGACATGACATCTTTATGTGTACACTGAGTGATATATTTCGAGTTTCTAAAAAGTGCGTCAGCAGACATAACAAACATTGACTGGAAATATTATTATTAGATACCACTAAGACACTTCTAATACAGCAAATGTAATTACGTAAGAGATTGCATAATCATGTGCAATATAGCTCTTTGTCTATTATACCATCTGAATTTGTGTCGTATTGGCTGACAACTATATCACTTTAAATGAAAAGTAGCCTCGATGCCAGGCGTAAGAGACATGTACTATAGTTCAAGCGCCCAAGTAAACGATTTCTTTGTGTATCGAAAAACTAATATGTCTTAGGACAACGTTGTAAATGATAGGGCAAGCGGGGCAGGTGATGCTACGTTGTGTAATACTAATCCGGTAGCGTGTCAGCAAAGGAGGTCATGCGATCAGGGTGATTGCATTGGTTGAAAGCAACAAACGCTGTAAAAGTTGAAAGCGCCCTAAATAACGGCTGTTACTTCAAAACGGGTGAAGATACTAGTTCATTACTATCGCTTGTGTAATAGTAATAGTTATATTAATCCATATAGATGTCTACCACAGTATTATTGGACCCAATGAAGGTAAGACACTGCATGTTTTTGTCTTAACCAAAGCGTCTTTTGAAGGTCAACGTGAGTCTTTGTTTTGTTTATCTAACAAAGCATTTATTTTGCAAAAAATAACAGACGTAGTAAATAGTGACAGAGTTAAACTTTAACGTTTCATTGAAGTTGTTTCGGCCATATAGCGACGACGTAATCGATAAAAACACTATAAAATACGTGCACTGCCCTCTGCCTCCTGGACAACATTTGAATAATCTTGTATGTGTGGGTCAAGGTTGCACAGGGAAATATACCAAGAACCTCTTTACAAACTTTACAAGAATACCTGCACATTGTATAGTTATTTTACTGTTATTAAAATATATAAAATATAGCAATGGGTAACTAACGTTTTCAATATTATTTCTGACAATATTCAATTTCTGAAGTTTTCAATGTCCCATCAGTGCACTGACATGTCGAAACATATATAGATCAAACTGTAATTGATAACTGTACCGTTCCAAATCATAAATGTACCAAAAAGGTGTATAATTACACCAAAATCAATTCTTAACATGAAAAGTGAAATATAATAGTTTGCTTCGTGGCTATTGCTTCCATTGTACATCAGAGATTTCAAATTTTGAATCCCCCGTTGGGATTTCGGGTTAGATTATATCCCCAGATGCGACCAAACAACAATCAAACTAACCTTTTAAATATCATCTTTGAAAAATAACACTTTAACAACATAAAGGTTTGTACTTGTTATACCTGTCCTAAAATGTTAGTACATAAGGTTTGTGTCCAACCATAAATGTGAAACTTCAAAATAACATTTAATAAAACATTTCAATTAACTGAGTATGTTCATCTTCATATCCATAAATCAGATTTTATGTGGCTGTCGCTGTGTATGGTTAGGTTGGTGTTCTGCAGCAATGTACAACGCATCATTGAACATTCTACCGTGATTTTGTAGAATACAAGAATTTGACCGGGCAGTCTAAATATACAATTACATGAAATAACAAAGAAAGCTCCCACACACCATTCCAAAATGGAAACACGAGAGATTCCATGAGACGTTTTATAATTACATGTTTTTCTTCAAACAAACAGATGACCACAAAAGAAAAATATTTCTCATTCCATACCGATAGCCAGTAGCATATACTTAAGTAGGTTTAAGATTCTATTGTAAAATATTCAAAGCGTGTGTGGAAATCGACTTAAATATGGTATTGCAGATTCCAAAGACACGTGCAAAATTGAGGTTTTATGAGACCTTCATTCCTTTGCCATAATGATGTGTGCTTGAGAAGTAAACAAATAGAGGTTTGTTCTATCTTCATTCGGGGTGGCCTCGGGTCCTGTGTCTTCAAAGTAGCTGAGTGCAAAGAGAATATGATTCCCTAAAAGGCAGTTATCGGCGATTCATTAACTATAATTAACAACAAAGGGTAAAAAAATAAAGAGTGTTTCTGTTGTCAGACTAGATGGAGATACGTCTGTATTTATCGTACTTTTGTATAATAATATGATTAATATAACTAGCAAGATTGTTGGTTACCACGAAATATTCGACGCTATATTCGAACTCGTCACAACATAGTACCTGCCATGCTCTGTTACCGAGTATGTTGCACATATTTATGAAACGTGAACGAGAATAACTCGATTACTCACCTAAACAGATTCCATTGGACGTATAAAGTCAATACATCACAGGAATGGATGACTGAAAATCAGTGATAACACCAGTTGTTGGGCGAAAACATAATTTGCATAAGGAAGTAAGTGTTATGTCTGACGCCGCACAACAATACACCTGCCATGCTACGGACGCGGTCATGCTACGTATATCGTAAGAACAACTTTTCTGATAGAGACTATGTTGAGAATGTAGAGGGGAAAAGGGCTTCACTTTGAGCACCTTGTTTTCTATAAATACTGCAATCTGTGACATTATAAAGTGGTGTATAAGTAGATATAATACTAATCTATAGATGTGAATCCATTTGATGATACATCTGTGAGGTTTAAGTTGATTTTAATAGCCCGGGCTAGGTCGGACCGTACATTTCTGACTTGGATATTTTAAAGAAAATAAAGTAAAAATACTTCACTTTAACGGCGCAGATTTCTTTAAATGCGATATACTTGGACATTATAAAGTGGTGTATAGGTAGATATAACACTAATCTATAGATGTAAACACATTTGAAGATACATCTGTGTGTTTAAAGTTGATTTTGACCGCCCGGGCCAAGTCGGACCCAACACAAGCCAAACACTTCTGATAGAGACTATGTTGAGAATGTAGAGGGGAAAAGGGCTTCACTTTGAGCACCTTGAGCCATCTGTGACATTATATGGTGGTATTTAGGTAGATATAGTACTAATCTATAGATGTGAATCCATTTGATGTTACATCTGTGAGGTTTAAGTTGATTTTGACAGCCCGGGCCAAGTCGGACCGAACACTTCTGACATAGATTTTCTTAAGAAAATACAGTAAAAATGCTTCACTTTGAGCACCTTGTATTCTTTAAATACGATGTACCGTGACATCATAAAGTGGTGTATAGGTAGATATAACACTAATCTATAGATGTAAACACATTTGAAGATACATATGTGTGTTTAAAGTTGATTTTGACCGCCCGGGCCAAGTCGGACCCAACACAAGCCAAACACTTCTGATAGAGACTATGTTGAGAATGTGGAGTGAAAAAGGCTTCACTTTGAGCTCTGTGTTTTCTTTAACTACTGAAATATGAGACAATAAAGTGGTAAATAATTAGATATAATACTAGTCTTTAGATATAAATAATTGTAGGAACTTTAGAAGTGCTTGGACAGTTATTAACACGTGTCGTGTCAGTCCTTTGACATTCGCGAATATCCACTTCCAGAAAACATCCTGTGTTGGTTTAACACGAATTAGTAAAGGTTAATTACCTTAACACGTTAATTAATGAAAGAAGGGTAGTCAAAACACTTTCGTTTCCTGCCCAGGACATCACACCCCTACACGCTAAGGTCGGTGAGAAGCATTCTAATCAAAGAATACACACAGTCAAGACGCTGACTTTTCTACGAGACTCACGGTATGTAGTCATAATCATCAGTTAATTACATTGTTGAAGGTGCATTTTTATTCAAACTCAATTAAATGAGAAAAACTATACGTTTGTGGACATTTGAGATCTGCCTAGATATGCGCGTTTCGTTTTATTATTCTGCAATCCTTTTTTAGAATTACCCGCTGACCCGGCCCGGGCCCCCTTTTCTTGGCCCGACTTTTAGGCAATCCCAGAATAATATCATAAAATCTTAACTGAGAACCTGAGATATTTACTGCATAGAAAAAGAAGACAGACAAAACCATCTCACAATACATGCATGGGGCCGATATTCCTTCTCAGGATATGCTCACTCGCACCACTGAGCTGTGATTATCCTTTTTGATATTGAACCCTAACCGCAATGCAATAAAAATGATAATTCATTGATCCAGTTTTATTTTGGATTATGCATGTCATCACATATCATCATCATGAAACATATTTACAAAGTATCTAGTCTGAACTTACCCCAAAACACTGAGTCGTTATTTCCACTTGTCGTTCCTAACAATATCCGCCTGTAAGTGAATTGGCAATAAATACAGACACAATCCAGCGCCCTCTACAATCGCCTGTATTGCGCAAACACAGCGACGCTTATCAGTATGCTACACAGTAACAAGGAAGTTATTCACTGCGAAGCACGAACAACATGTAATGTCTGTACAATAATGAGGTCACGAATATCTGTAAGAAAATACGTAAGTACACATCCTCTCTAGATTAACATATAGGAATTGATGACAGGGTATTTTCATTACATATCTATGAAAATATCTCCCTTTTCGATGTACAAATGTATGGTGTTTTCAGTGTATAACGGCTGTTGATCATAACTTATTCATATCCATACGCCAGAATGCAGGACATCAAGAGGCAAGGTGTGGTTGGTTAGCCTAGTGATGAAAGCATTTGTTCGGGATCTATTCCCGACATGGGTACAATGTGTGAAGCCTATTTCTGGTGTTCTCCGCCGTGATATTGCCTGAATATTGCTAAAAGCGGCGTAAAACCATTTATCATATAATGGGTAGGTTTCTCGGCAGGATAAAGCCAACGGATAAAAAACGATATCCGTTCGGGTCATATGCGGAAAGATATGCAAATATCAAAGGTCAAGTAGGGACTACTTTCTGTTTATAAACAAACATGGCGTCGCCCTCGTCATTCGGCGATCAAGTCAGAATTAACCATCGGGAATCTAGATAAACTACAGAGATGATTGCTATAATTATCAAAAGAACAGTCTAATATCCTGAAAATCAGTGTCTAACTTTGACGTATCTAAGGCATTTTATAAGTTTTGGCAACTTTGGAGATATAAATTTCGAAACAATTTTGCGAGGGCACGAGGTCTAGCCAAGCGGGACCAGTAGCCATATCTGTGCCTGTAGACCTCTGCGGCTTCAAACCTTCTCCACATATTAAAATAGTTGGATTGGGCCGAAATATGTTTGAATTGTTACCTTGTTTCGTTTTGTCGCTGTGTGTACATCTGACTACACTACTTAACGTTATGACAGGACAGACCGACTGTCAACAACGTCTGATCGTGGCCGTGACGTCTTATAGACTAGGGTTAGAGTAGCTTCCCTTTGACAAAGGGCAGTTACTCTAGCGGACAGACCGATGGATTGCCACGAGAGGCAATTAAAAAACATTTTTTGTTTTGCTTCGCCACTGTATAAGAAACAGATTTCAGTTGGAACTATATTGGCTACTGTCACTGTCCGACTGACACATCACTTACCCTGTGACGTAATAAATATTAATGCGCCCATTCCAGGAAAACTCGCAATGTTTCGGGACAGAGGGAAAGCGATTTTGAATCACAGAATTAAAGAATGACATTATATGATAAAGAGGTTATCACGCTTGTGTGTTTGGGGATGGTAAATATCCTGCATTAGGAATAAACACCACGTGTTTAGCTCGCCAAGGCTCGCTAAATACAATGTTTATTCCTAATGCAGGATATTTACCATCCCCAAACACACAAGCGTGATAACCTCTATATTCACCATAACGAGGCAGACCGATAGGGAAGTAACATGAACTCCACTTCTTTCTGTTTCAACAAGAAAACATTCTCAAGTAGTGTCGGCGTTATATATTGGATAAAATGTTCTGCAAGGCACGGCAGGGTGTTCTTATGTCAGATCCCAATAACAACATGTGTCCTTGCCCTCAAACTGTAATGCACACTGTTGTTGTTGCACTTGATTCTGAGCGAGGAATCCAATGGCCATTCTGAACATACACTTTAAAGAAGTAAAACTGACTTAACTACAAGTCATTATGCAATTGATTTTATAACATAACTTCTCATCAACCATTACATGGTTTAAGTACGACAAATCACTCGCATCATAGATGGTTATGATTTCTCCATTACGACATGCATATGGGAATTTGCATTTATTTTTACGTATAACACATGAGATGCGTCATAGATATAGTGTAACACTTTCTTAGTAAAGTACAGATTCTCGGGACTCAACCAAATAGAGTGTTATCCCAAATATAACATTTGTTACATTTGACCACTTTCTGAATAACATTGTGCTGAACGGTGAGCGAAATATAAAAGATAAATAAAAATTCAATCCTGCCCCACTGGTGGCACCCGTTAATAAACACATTATTCATGAATATGCTGTGCAAAAAATGAATTTGAATTATTTTAATCTCCGTGGATCTGCTTCGTGTCACCACAAACAATTCTTCATGTACTCCGCCATTATGTAATTGCTATGACATTGAAACTAAATATACGTGGTGGTATGAGACAGTAGGTCACTTGTTTCGGAGAACTCTATCTCTAAATCTAAAATAAGTAGGTCATCGAAGTTATATGCAAGCGCAAACTGTACTGCCTACGTACTCATCCGCATAGCATACTTGCCGCCATTTTGTGCAGCTATATATAATGATTATGGTCAGGCGGTCTGTTATGGTAAGTCATTGTGTAACCGAAATGGTATCTCCTTTCTATATAAATTTAACATTTGTCTTGCTTTGAATTAATTTTATATCATAAGAAATTAGAAATTACTAAATCTATGAAGACAGACGAAACACTGCGACATACTGATTGTGGAGGTGTATAACCTACAATATGTTCAGCAATCAAAGATCACAACTAGATTATTTATATCACCGTAAGCTCAGTAGTTTTCATCTATGTTGAGTCAACTACAAAAGAAATGTTTGGGCGGAGACTTTAAAACTGCGCCCTCCTGTGTTGCAAAGCGAACATATTTCTTAAAAGTATTTTTTCTTTACTTACAAGCAGCAGTATTGTACACGTGTACACAGCAGACGTAATAAAGAAGTAACATATCGTTTTTATTACTTTCAACAAAATCAGTCATAATACTATCGTGTGACTGGATTTCTGGTACATCTATCATTTGATTGTCTGTTTTGTTTACAGGCTGATGTCGCATGGCAGGAGTAATGCTAATAAATACTTACAGTAAACTACGGTTATAACGAACTCAAAGGGACCACTAACTTTAGTTCGTTATAACCGTAGTTCGTTATAAGCATATATACAGCATAACTATAGCAAATAGTCGGGACAAAAAAGTAAGTTCGTTATATCCGTCAGTTCGTTATAAGCGTGTTCGTTATAAACGTAGTTTACTGTACTTATTTATGCATATTGTATGAATGGTGGGTGCAACCTGTAGGACAGGATGTGCTAACACGTTTCGCGAACACCTGGTGTCATCACTGATTTTTAGTGGTCTATTCATAAAATGTCCACAGTTATTTTGCCCTTTACGCCAAATTGAATCTATTTAGACAGAGAATCTAGGCTGGGTATTCTCCTGCATTAATACTATATATTTATATAAACACATGTATTCTTGTAATTCGATGTTTAACTATAACTAGAAGTACTTACTGTCCAGCTTTATCCATAAACTTATTGGATTGTACAGGAAACGTGGAGCCAAATGGGATTTTATCGAAAAAAATAAATTGTCCCGAACATTCTTGAAGAAAATAGTTATGCTTCAGAACGTTGAAAAACAGGACATGGCTTGATGGTTTAATATTTGTGCATACAGTTATTTCTTTTCTCTAGACAAAATGACTCGGGATGGACAAAGAGGATTGCTACCAACATTTCTGTTTGTTGTGTACGTTTTTCTCCTGATGTATCACGGTAAGATCAATCACACCTATGAAGTTGAAACGTGAATACATTAAATCACTGGGAAAGTATTTATTAATATTAATAAGCACAACAGTAGCTTGATACATGTAGCTTGTTTTCTTTATGTATTATGCCCTTTGTTTTTTTCGCTTTCCCTTTCTTAAACATTTGCCAATGAAACACTCTTCTCAAATTGCTATAAGTGTGCAGACATCTATTTGCCTCACTTATTTTCCATGTGGAAAACGATGATCAACGCTTGGATATTTATTGGAGGGTATTTAAAACTACAGCTCACACTACTTAAGGATATTTCAATGTATGGATGAGGTGGACTGCATTTCTGTCTGTAATATCTTTGTCCTTCACAATATTTTACATTTACCAGTACTAGTTTTTTGTTGTTTAACGCCGCACTCAGCAATATGCCAGCTATATGACGGCGGTCTGTAAATAATCGAGTCTGGACCAGACAATCCAGAGATTGATATCATGACCTTCGATCCACGCAATTTGGATACACTGATATGCATGAACCAAGACAGCCAGCCTGACCACCCGATCCCGTTAGTCGCCTTTTACGGCAAGCATGGGTTGCTATAGACCTATTCTACCCCGGATCTTCACGGGTCTTACCAGCACTAAGTTCATTATTGATCAAAAGTCAAGTTGATAAGAATAGCTTCAAACCATGTCGTATTTTGATGTGTATGTGCTGTCGTATTTTGCAGGTGACACCAAGTGCGTGTACAAAACTCGCCGACTCTTGAAGGATGGCTGTATGAACTACTGTCCCGAGGACCAATGTCCCGAGGAATGTACCTACTGTGACAGCGGCTTCTATGGGTCTGACTGTACGAGGAGCTGCCGAGGACACTGCTTGAATGGAAGGTGTGCCCTACTGGCCAATGGTAGAGCCGTCAACTGTACGGAGGGTTGTGTGGAGGGGTGGCGGGGGTTAACGTGTAGTACTAGATGTAAGTATCCTTGTCGGGAGTGTGGGAGATACACTGGAGACTGTGTAGGGCGATGCAGGGATGGTTTCTACGGACCTGGATGCTTACAGCGATGTCCATATACCTGTTCCCGATGTGACAAAAACAACGGAGTATGTTTGCCTAACACTTCTGTTGATGCAGACCTATTGCCGATAATACACAAAATCACATTAAGCCTGACACATGGTATCGACATTAACAAGACTCACAGCAGTCACGTGAACAAGACACACGACATTCACAAAGCAGGTAAGGGGCTGTCAAGAACCCTCCAAACCGATTAAATGTTTATTTACATAAAAAATATTGTTTTACACACACATATAATTTTTTTTAAATTTAATCAACAGTTCCTTGTTCCTCATTGTTTACATTTGTAATACATAACTGGTTGGTTGTTGTTGTTGGTTGTTGTTGTGGTTGTTGTTGTTTAACGCCGCACTCAGTAATATGCCAGCTATATGACGGCGGTCTGTAAATAATCGAGTCAGGACCAGACAATCCAGTGATTGACATCATGCGCATCGATCCACGAAATTTGGACACGGTGGTATTCATCAACCAAGTCAGCGAGTCTGACCCCCCGACCCCGTTAGTTGCCTCTTACGACAAGCATAGTCGCCTTTTAAGGCAAGCATGGGTTGTTGGAGACCTCTTTACCTGGATCTTCACATAACAGAAGGTCCACATCAACGTGTATCAACTTACTAAATTTCAACAAAAGCAATGTGTGAGTACAATGGGTTTTTTTCTGTTTTAGAGTTACATCAACACTCTGCAATGACGTCAAGACCCCTTGGTGACAGATGGTCAATATCCCCATATTTCCTCACTGGCGTTGCTGTATTATCTGCAGTAATAACTTTCATCATCGTCAGCATCGCCATCACCAGGTATGTCAACATCACACAATACTGGCGATACAGCAAAATGCAGAAATAATTCATTTAATTCCGTTCAACATACCACATACATGATGACAACAACTCTGTTTGAAAAAGAAATACAAAAACATGCAGAATCAAATGAAATTTATTGAGGGTGTCCAGGGTGACAGCCAGGATGTTTCGAGGTTCTGTTAAAGGAATGGGAACAGTGTCTTTATCGCCAGGGTTGCCAGCAACAAGTTCTACTCAACTGTGCTTTACCATGCATTCTGTTTGAGCCAGTTGACCAACTGGATGTACCACTTGTACCTGGTTACTCGAAGTCCGTTATGTTGCATAATACGTTTACGCCAATGTGTCAAATATGCTGTCTGATATTTCAGTCAATTTACAAAATGACTGACAATTTCAGCCATTTTACAAATTGACTGATTTTACAATATACATATTCATGTTGTCTTTGTGTTTTAGATTGTGTTTAGTGACATTCCAAGATAATGTGGAAGCTAAGGATACAATGGGTGTTGCTTGATGATGATGAAAATACTTTAATGTACAACCATATCTCTATTTTGCAGGATGAAAGCGACAAGAATGCAATCGAAGACGGATTCAGTTGAGAAGCGTGATGAGTCTGATCGGCTCCTCAATGTGAAAGTCAACGTTATTTTGAGTAATGAAGTTTCGTGAATCCGTGTTTATTGACATAGGATTAAACAGACAAATACGCGAGTACAATAGCAAAAGTTTATATCCCTTCAATTCTGCACTGAAACCAATATTTGGAAGTCAGTAGGGTGAACATGCGCCGTGACAGGTTATTAATAACTGCTTACAAAAATTCTAATATTCAATAATAACCTGCTTCTGAAAATGGAGGTAAAAATTATTTCAATGATTTAAAAACTACTCAAAGACCTTTGAAAAACTGTGGAAAACTACCACTAGGTGAAGTTCTTTCATTTACAAGAGGGCAAGTGATCCTCAACGGTTTCAAAAACCATTAAAACATGTGACCCACCAGGAGAAAAGGGACCTTATGGGTGCTAGGATACAATTGTGCTGTGACGTCGTAAAGAAAGACGTCAACTTATTGTGTGCGGACTGTAAAAAAATATCGTATTTTTCTCACTTTTCTGGATTTCGGCATATATACCTATAGAGATATTCTTTAGATAGTAGTTCATATTGGTTACATTGGGTCTACACTACTGCGCAGTGTGCATGGATAAGTGTCACGTGGATAAGCAGGACAAAGAGGTCTTGTGCATTATTCACTCCGTTGAGATCATCATGATAGCTCGCGAAAGTAACCAAATATCTGAAAAGAGTACATGCTTGTTTCTTGCTTTGTTTGTTGTTTAACGCCGCACTCGGCAATTTCAGCTATATTGGGAAACGATGACATGCATCAACCAAGTCAGCGAGCCTGACCATCCGATCCCATTAGTCGCCTCTTCAGACATAAGTGTCCGCAGCCTGAAACGGCTACTCTAGGTAATTACGCAGTGTTGTTAGAATATTGTATTTTTGAAATTCTTCATGCGTATTTTTACGTCAAGGAGTAGAATGACCGGACATGTATAGAGAAAGGGTAGAGTTGCCTCCCTTTTTTGATAACAGCTAACAAAGAAAGTAATGCGAATGAATAATTTTTTTAATGTGTTGTTGAAGATGATGGAATACGTCATCGTTAATTGACAACACAATTTAAATATTAATTGGTTCCCATATAACGGGTATTTTTCATAAATTATTTTACTGAAACAGTACATCATTATTTGTCTAAACCTTTCTGTCAGTTGACTGATGAGAGCTAAATGCTAAGGCAGTTTAACATTTCCGTTTGTTTTCTTTGGTTGAAAATACATAGTGCTATTGAACAGTAAATGACAAAACAGTATACCGTCTCCTAGAAGATGTAATTCTGGGTTTGTTTTTTAATTCTAGACATGTAAATTCTGAAGAACTAGAGATAAAGATATAAAGGTAGGCAAAGCATTCTTCAACAATCGATACCTGTGCTGTCTGTGACAGATTCCTTTGTTTGAAGAGTCGATTGATGAATGCCCCGGCGGTGGCCCGAGTTCGAGTAGGTCATTGAATCATACATCTGGTCATAAGAGGCGAGTAAATTGCTTCGGGTGGTCAGGCTTGATGACTTGCTTGATATCTTATCATCGTACCTGTCATTCTAAATATCATTCCTATTGTTGATAACCATTTTTGGAATATATGCGTACACAATGTTGGATTTTCCGGAACCTGGCTTATCCAAACTAAAACAAAACGTAGCACTGAAGAAGCATTTTTGAAACACAAGAGATCCCAGTTGCTGTGCCGCAAAGATCGACACAAATAAACGGAAATGAAGCAGGAAAAAAACTGTTTTCAGTGCATACTTGAACTGATATAGGATTGTGTGCATTTTGTTCTCTGTGTGTCAGTGCCCTCATATAAAACTTGATCCCGTCCAAATTGTGTTTTTAATAATGTTTTTCGTTTTTAAGCCAATTAGTTTTTAAGCTTGTTATGTATTCCCGTTTTTGCAGATTCTTTACAATAATTAGAGTATCAACCTTGATAGGCCTTAAGAAGAAAAATGACAAGGTGTAGTACTGATAACAACTCCTTTAGTATACTTACAGGAATGACAGAGTGGGAGAACATAACATACATACACAAACAATATTAATATCATATATATCGACTCATTTAATTTCTTGTATAAAAACATCACCTTGTTCCCACTCTTCTATAACATGTCAAGTCCATGTCGAATAAAGGTCAAGGTCTCGATTAAACGCCGATAGTAAACGCTGGGTAGTTTTTATGCACAGAATTCTCCCCATTATTAGTTTGTGATTAAACGTCGGGGATAAAGATTGTCTTAAAGGAATATACGCCCGGGCGTTTGTTTAATACGGTACTCCTTTGTTAATCTACACCAACCTTCATGAATTATGCGCGATATGAAATGCAACAGTATGGAGGGTTTTAAGAACATATTACAATGTACTCCTTTTCATAATAAACAAATTAATCGCTACTGATTATTGTTTTGCGCCACTTTTAACAATTTTCCATCACCATCACCACGGAGAACAACAGAAACAAGCTTCACACATTGTACTGATGTGGGGAATGGAACCCAGGTCTTCGGCCTCACGAGCGAACGCTTTACCACTTGGCTACCACCCGCGCCTGGTATAAAGACATGTGCCAGTAGTATATATTCACTTTTCCTCATTCAACTCTCTACATTTCATACAATTTACCATATTAAACTTCATTCTGTAGGTAATTTTAATCATATCATATCATCATGCATGTGTTAAACAATAACTGTACCGCAAAATGTTTTGTTTTAATGAAAAATGCAAAAAGGCTCCAGGGGGAGTCGAACCCTCGACCTTCTGCTTACTAGGCAGACGCTCTAACCAACTGAGCTATAGAGCCGCGTCGTTCGACAAGGGAGCTGCCTGCTGCCGTTCTGATTGTCACCCTTACAAACAGAGAACTGTCAATACTTTGGATTTTACGTCTTCCACGTGACATTCACCTCTAGTCACGTGACACGATATCCGCTCATAACACCTTCACTTTGTGAAGTTTGCATAACACTCACTCCATACAGGTAGTGATCCACGTATTAGAATACTTATCGTGAATTTACTTATTTAATTTGACAAATGCTTCCTATTTATCAAGAGATCGATGAATTTCGAACAAGTTTGTTCTTTATCTTTTATTAATTGCTTTTCTGTCATTTCGCAAATTTCAATACATGGACATATTTTATTCGGAAAACATGTTATAAAACAGTCATAACGCTCATGTGAATTTTGAAAGTTTCAGAGACTATTTTGTTATTGAGAGCATTGCCAACATTGCCACAAGGCTGTTCCTGCGTACAATACCGATTCAATGGTTTTGATAGCCCTGCCATGACTGTGAGATATACATACATATATTCCCCAATTGATTTTTTTTAAATTTACCAAAAATCTTGGCTCGTCTAGACCAACCTAAACAAAGACTAGTTTCCTTGATTCCAGACGAGGTATTAACAGCAGAGGTGAAAGCTTCTCTTGAACAAAATAAAATACAATTATTTTAAAGAAATCTCTTCATAGGCTGAGTGTTTGTCTTTGGTTCGGAAATAGGTCGCCAGTAGATGGAGCTGTCATTTAAATCAACTTTTTCGTTGAGTTGAGTTTAACTTTATAAATGCTTTCCTAGGTAGCAATCTGTGTACTAAATACGTCATCATTTACTATATGATCCTGTACACAGTTTGCACATAATTTAAATATCACCAAAGTCTCATTCAATGCTTGGTGGATTTTTCAATTTCTGTAAGTATGAACACAAATTAGCTCTTGCTAACAGTAGATACTTAGCTACCGTAAGTCGGGGCTTCTGTTTATAAGTCTTTCGTAGACTTCCTGAAAGTCATGATCAGTAAAGTGAAGCCTAGCAAGCTATAATATGTAACATTGAGTGACACACTAGAGATGCATCTCAAAACTGCAGACTCCCAAGCCGCTATGTCACCGTAACTCCGCCATGAAGGGTAGAAGGCAACAAGGCGAATTCTCTATTTCATAACACACTTTCCCTTTAGCCTCTTGTTGTGTACAAGACAGCGTTCTTCACGGATCTCGCCGGGACGTCCAACCCACACGTGGTGCAGAGCAGCTAATCTCGGCTAGAGTTGTCTCCCCTACACTGTCGATCACCATGTGAAGACGACACCCAACCGTTTTGCTGCAACAATTTAATGGTTAACATTAACGTGTAGCATTCTGTGCGTCGTTTAAACACGAAAGCGTATTTTTCAAAACGATGAATATTCATAAAAAAACATATCATGAGTTATGAGTTAAGATTTCTTTTGAATATGGAAAGGATTTTTGTCGCTTTTATTTTATTTTTATTCTAATCATAATCCGAATTTGAGTGTACTGTGAATAAGCATATATTTATATTCTGAATGTTTCTGTTAATAAAAAGTGGTCGTTTATAAAATATATTAGGGTTTTTATAAACACCATTGACGCAATAAAAAGGAACTTCACACAATACTATTAACTTATTATGTTTTCGTTTATAACTTTTACTTGACTTCATGTTTCTTTGTGATTTTATCAGAAACTTACTGAAACATTAACATATGACATACGTGGTTGTATCTCAAACCAGCCGATCTAAATAACGATGTTTTAAAAGGACACACAAGTTATGTAAAATGGTTGAAACTAAACGCACGCCGGTGCCCACTGTCTCTGCTTTGGTGGGGAATCTAAGACATCTACGACTTCACTAATCTACAACCGCCGCAACAACCACAGCTACAACCGCTACCACCAACGCTACAATCACCGCTACAACCACCGCTACTGCCATGGTTACTGTCTCTGCATCTGCGGGGAATCTAAGACATCTACGACTTCACTAATCACCGCTACAACTGCCGCTACAACTGCTGCAACAGCCACAGCTACAACTACCTCTACCACCACCACTACAATCACCGCTACAACCAACGCTAGAAGCAGCGCTACAACCATCGATGCAACCAGCAAGGTTTATCAAGAGGACAGTTTGTATCCGGCGTGGCTCCACAGCCACGACCGTGCTGCTCAGCCATATACATTACAATTAATGTTGTTTGAAATCGTTATGTTGCGTTGTGGAGTGCCCCATGACGCGGGACGCTGATTTATTAGTGGCTTAGAAATGTCTTCCTCATTTTTTTATGGAAACAACTGTATCTAACTGTTACAGGTTCGTAATTGTACTAAGTGTAGACTTCGTGATGCAGATGACCATGTTTGGCTACATATTGTTATGTTTTCCCGTTTTTGCAGACCCTTTACAACAATTAGAGTATCAATCTTGATAGGCCTTTAGACGTAGGATGACAAGGTCTAGTATGGATAACAACCTCTTTGGTATACACACCGAAATGGCAGAGTGGGAGAACATGACATATATACACAAACATACAATATTAATATCATATTTATCAACTCATTTAATCTCTTGTAAACAAACATCACTTTGTATCCACTCTCCTGTAACAAGTCAAGTCCATGTTGAATAAAAGTCAGGGTCTCGATTAAACGCCGGAAGTGAACGCTGGGTAGTATTTATGCACAGAATTCTCCCCATTATTAGTTTGTGATTAAACGTCGGGGATAAAGAGTGTCTTAAAGGAATATACGCCCGGGCTTTTGTTTAAAACGGTACTCCTTTGTTAATCTACACCAACATTCATGAATTATGCGCGATATGAAAATGCAACAGTATGAAGGGTTATAAGAACCTGTTACTTCTTGTCATGATTTTAAAATTAATCGCTACTGAGTATTGTTTTGCGCCGCTTTTAACACTTTTCCATCACCATCACCACGGGGAACAACAAAAACAGTCTTCACACATTGTACCAATGTAGGGAAAGGAACCCAGGTCTTCGGCGTGACGAACGAACGCTTTAACCACTAGGCTACCCCACTGTGCCTGGTATAAAGACATGTGCCATTAGTATATATTCACTTCTCCTCATTCAACTCTCTACATTTCATATCAATTACCATATTAAACTACATGCTGTAGTTAATTTTAGCTTGTTATCGTTTCAGTATCATAACATCATACTTGTGTTACACAATAAATGTGTCTGCAAAATGTGGTTTTGTTTTAATGAAAAATGCAAAAAGGCTCCAGGGGGAGTCGAACCCTCGACCTTCTGCTTACTAGGCAGACGCTCTAACCAACTGAGCTATAGAGCCGCGACGTTCGACAAGGGAGCTGCCTGCTGCCGTTCTGATTGTCACCCTTACAAACAGAGAACTGTCAATACTTTGGATTTTACGTCTTCCACGTGACATTCATCTCTAGTCACGTGACACGATATCCGCTTGTAAACACCTTTACACTGTAAAGCATGCAGAAAACTCACTCCATACAGGTAGTGATCCACGTATTAGAATACTTATCGTGAATTTACTAATTTAATTTGACAAATGCTTACTATTTATCAAGAGATCGATGAATTTCGAACAAGTTTGTTCTTTATATTTAATTAATTTTTTTTATGTCATTTCGCAAAAATATTTTATTCGGAAAACATGTTATAAAACTGTCATAATGCTCATGTGAATTTTGAAAGTTTCAGTGACTATTTTGTTATTAAGAGCATTGCCAACATTGCCACAAGGCTGTTCCTGCGTACAATACCGATTCAATGGTTTTGATAGCCCTGCCATGACTGTGAGATATATATTATACATATATTCCCCAATTGATTTTTTTTTAATTTACCAAAAATCTTGGCTCGTCTAGACCAACCTAAACAAAGTCTAGTTTCCTTGATTCCAGACGAGGAAAGCTTCTCTTGAACAAAATAAAATACAATTATTTTAAAGAAATCTCTTCATAGGCTAAGTGTTTGTCTATGGGTCGGAACTAGGTTGCCAGTAGATGAAGCTGTCATTTAAATCATTTTTTTCGTTGAGTTGAGTTTAACTTTATAAATGCTTTCCTAGGTAGCAATCTGTGTACTAAATACGTCATCATTTACTATATGATCTTATACACAGTTTGCACATAATTTCAATATCACCAAAGTCTCATTCAGTGCTTGGTGGATTTTTCAATTTCTGTAAGTATGAACACAAATTAGCTCTTGCTAACATTCGATACTTAGCTACCGTAAATCGGGGCTTCTGATTTTAAGTCTTTTGTAGACTTCCTGAAAGTCATGATCAGTAAAGTGAAGTCTAGCAAGCTACAAATGTATATTCTAATATGTAACACTGAGTGACACACTAGAGATGCATCTCAAAACTGCAGACTCCCAAGCCGCTATGTCACCGTAACTCCGCCATGAAGGGTAGAAGGCAACAAGGCGAATTCTCTATTTCATAACACACTTTCCCTTTAGCCTCTTGTTGTGTACAAGACTTCGTTCTTCACGGATCTCGCCGGGACGTCCAACCCACACGTGGTACAGAGCAGCTAATCTCGGCTAGAGTTGTCTCC